ATTGTCGCCCATCAGCTGTAGATAGTTAACTAATTAGAGGGCCGTGGCCCTACAGCTGTGTGAACTGAGCAATCAGGCGTCCATTTTTGGGTAGCTCTTTCCTGGAGCATCAGCTTCAGCGTCAGACAGCCGAAGACTGACAAAGACATTGGAGTCCTGCGGGAGTCACGAGGGAGGCAAAGAGGAGGCAAATCCTACTCTGATTGAGCTGGTGTCTTATTTATCTTTTCTTTAGTTTTCTAGCCCCTCATGCTATAATCATGTGTATTTTCTCCATTCCTGTTCATGTGTCTTCTCGCAATTATCACTGGCCCCGTGTATCTCCTAATCGATATAACCGGCCTGCTCTCGTCTATCCCACGTGCTCCACTGAGATCCAACATCTAGTTTCTGGTGGCCTGTGGAATTGCCAGTCAGCTGTTCCCAAGGCTGACTTCATCTCTGGCTACGCCTCCCTGCAGTCTCTGGATTTCCTTGCTCTCACTGAGACCTGGATTACTCCATCCAACACATCCACCCCAGCAGCTCTCTCCACTGCATATTCCTTCTCCCATACACCCAGACCCACTGGCAGAGGAGGTGGCACTCGTCTCCTGCTATCTCCCAAATGGAGCTTTTCCCTCTTCAAGCTACCTAACTTCACTCCTTCCACCTTTGAATTCCATGCCGTCACAGTAACCCATCCTATACAGTTAACCATTGTTGTTCTCTACCGTCCACCAGGCGCCTTGGGGGACTTCTTGGAGGAATTAGATAATCTCCTCTCACTTATCCCTGAAACTGGCCCTCCCGCTGTACTTCTCGGAGACTTCAACCTCCAGACGGGGAAGATAGACGAACTAACATCTCTGTTAACCGCCTTTGCTTTCTCACTGTCTCCGTCCCCACCAACTCATAAAGCTGGCAATGTCCTTGATCTCATATTCTCAAGGAACTGCTCTACTTCTAACCTCTCTGTAAACCCGCTCCACACATCCGATCACTTCTTCATTTCATTCTCTCTATCCCTTTCCAAACATAACAAACTAATCTCTTCCCATCCTGCACTTGTCCGCCGTAACCTTCGCTCCCTCTCCCCCTCTACTTTTGCCTCGTCGGTGCTCTCAGCCCTCCCTTCCTCTGATTCGTTCCATCTCCTGCCTCCAAACTCTGCTGCAGAAACTCTCCTCTCTACTCTCTCATCCACTCTGGACTCGCTCTGTCCTCTCACATCTCGGCAGGCTCGTCAGTCCCCTCCTGCTCCCTGGCTAAACGATGCACTGCGTGCTAATAGAACCGTCCTTAGGGCAGCAGAGCGGAAATGGTGGAAATCCAAACACCGTGACGACCTCCTAACCTATCAAGCTCTCCTCTCCTCTTTCTCTGCTTCGATCTCTCAGGCAAAAAGCACTTTCTTTCAAGATAAGATCCAATCTTCCTATTCCAATCCTAAAAAACTATTTTCCATCTTCTCTACCCTCCTCCCCCCTCCTCACTTCTGTCAAGCGACTTTGTTACCCACTTTGAGAAAAAAAAAAAAGGTTGATGATATTCGCTCTTCTTTTTCTGACTCACCTTTACTCACCGCTGGGTCACCAGACCCTCCTTCCACCAACACACTTACCTCCTTTTCCCCTCTCTCTCCAAGTGAGGTTCTTACCCTCATTACCTCTGCCCGCCCTACCACCTGTCCTCTGGACCCTATCCCTTCAAACCTCCTTCAGACTATCGCTCCTGATATTCTACCGTTTCTCACCCATTTCATCAACACTTCTCTAACTTCTGGTCACTTTCCAAACAGTCTCAAGGAGGCAAGAGTAAACCCTCTCCTAAAGAAACCCACTCTCAACCCGTCTGATGTTATAAACTACAGGCCTGTCTCTCTCCTCCCGTTCCTGTCTAAATCACTTGAACGCGCTGTCTTTAAACAACTCTCCTGTTATCTCAATCAGAACAACCTTCTGGATCCGCACCAGTCTGGTTTCAAGGCAGGTCACTCCACAGAAACTGCTCTCATTGCTGTCACGGAGGAACTGCACACTGCCAAAACTGCATCCCTCTCCTCTGTCATCATCCTATTGGACCTGTCTGCTGCATTCGATACGGTGAATCATCAGATCCTCCTTCGCACTCTCCAAAAACTTGGAGTTTCAGGCTCTGCACTTTCCCTCCTCACCTCATACCTGAAAGACCGTACCTACAGGGTGACTTGGAGAGGGTCTGAGTCCGACCCTTGTCAATTAACTACGGGGGTCCCTCAGGGCTCTGTTCTTGGTCCCCTTCTCTTCTCCGTGTACACAAACTCGCTCGGATCAGTCATTAGCCCGCATGGTTTTTCTTACCACTGCTACGCTGATGACACCCAATTAATTCTGTCCTTTCCCCGCTCAGAGACCCAGGTCGTTGCACGCATCTCTGCTTGTCTAGCTGACATCTCTCAGTGGATGTCTGCTCACCACCTCAAGCTCAACCTTGACAAAACTGAGCTGCTCTTCCTCCCGGGAAAAGATTGTCCCACTCTTGACCTAACAATCAACATCGGCACCTCAGTTGTTTCCCCGACTCAGACTGCAAGGAATCTGGGTGTGACCCTAGATAACAACATGTCCTTCACTGCAAACATCGCTGCTACAACCCGTTGCTGCAGATACACGCTTTACAACATCAGGAAGATACGTCCCCAGCTGACTCAGAAAGCGACTCAGGTTCTGGTCCAGGCTCTCGTTATCTCACGCCTAGACTACTGCAACTCCCTCCTGGCTGGTCTACCTGCATGTGCCATCCGACCTCTGCAGCTCATCCAGAATGCAGCGGCTCGTCTGGTCTTCAGCCTTCCTAAATTCTCCCACACCACTCCGCTCCTCCGCTCCCTTCACTGGCTTCCGGTAACTGCTAGAATCCACTTCAAGACACTGGTACTTGCTTACCATGCTGCGAATGGATCTGGCCCTTCCTACATCCAGGACATGGTTAAACCGTACACCCCAGCGCGTGCACTACGCTCTGCATCAGCCAAACGACTCGTTGCGCCCTCGCTGCGAGGGGGACCCAAGTTCCCATCGGCGAAAACACGTGGGTTTGCTGTCCTGGCTCCAAGATGGTGGAATGAGCTCCCCATTGACATCAGGACGGCAGATAGCTTGCACATCTTCCGGCGCAAACTGAAAACTCATCTCTTTCGACTCCACTTCGAGCGTTAGAACTATTAACGAAGCACTTTTATACTAATAAAGGACTGGCTTACCTAAAGCCAGTTGAGTAGCACTTGAAATGTTTGGCTCTATGAAACCTGATGTACTTATATGATTCTGTTTTCTTCAATGTTGTGTCTTCCTGGTCGAATGTACTTATTGTAAGTCGCTTTGGATAAAAGCGTCAGCTAAATGCAATGTAATGTAATGTAATGTAACATGTCACCCATTGAGCATGTTTGGGATGCTCTGGATCGGCGTATACGACAGCGTGTTCCAGTTCCTGCCAATATCCAGCAACTTGGCACAGCCATTGAAGAGGAGTGGACCAACATTCCACAGGCCACAATCAACAACCTGATCAACTCAATGCGAAGGAGATGTGTTGCACTGCGTGAGGCAAATGGTGGTCACACCAGATACTGACTGGTTTTCGGACCCCCCCAATAAAGCAAAACTGAACATTTCAGAGTGGCCTTTTATTGTGGCCAGCCTAAGGCACACCTGTGCAATAATCATGCTGTCAAATCAGCATCTTGATATGCCACACCTGTGAGGTGGGATGGATTATCTCGGCAAAGGAGAAGTGCTCACTATCACAGATTTTTTCAGATTTGTGAACAATATTTGAGATAAATGGTTATTTTGTGTATATAGAAACATGTTTAGATCTTTGAGTTCATCTCATGAAAAATGGGAGCAAAAACAAGTGTTGCTTTTATATTTTTGTTCAGTGTATCAAGAAGTAGGCCATCGTCCCATTTCTTCTTGTGGATTTTCCACTTTAACTGGATTCTGTTCCCAGTGATAGAATACATAAGTAGCACATAGGTATGAATCCAAAAGTTCAATGAGGAGAAATTGCCTGCACTCAATGTTGGTATGTGTGGCTGAGTGTCTTGATGGTGGGGTGGAGGTGCAGTAATGCAGTCCAGATGGCGTGTGTTGTATATATCAAAGGAGAGTTACTGTAGCACTCAGGTGTGTTTCCTCCTGAAGTGGGCTGCTCTGAAGTGTGTGTGTGTGTTTGTGCTGTCTTTGATGGTCTAGCTGTTATTAGTCGTTCATATACATTATTATTGTTTGTTATTTTATTTCTCCAGGAAACCAGAAATCAATGTCTTGCCTCTTTAATGTAAACTGTAATACAACCAAGTGTATTAGCCATAATTGTAGCAATGTGGAAGGGTCCTAAAACATTTAATTTATAATGATACATGACAATGAAAAGCAAGAATTTCTCATTTTAGTGAGCATATTGGAATTAATTGGTTATTGAAAAATTACTGAAATGATGAATCAATTATCTGAATAATTGCAATCAGCAGGTGGTTGAGGATTTAGAGGCTGAACAAACCAGACATTTATCTCAGGTGACTTTAAAACTAAGTTTAAAAGAGAGTGGATATTAGATTTAAATTCATCGAGTGGACGATGTTGCTCCTTAACGGCTGGATGTGTAAATATGAAATGTTTGCTTACAAGTTCACCATATTACATCTAAGGTAAAACATGTGTGAGTCAGAAAGAAAGCAAACATAGAAATATGAAGAAGTCATGTTGTCATTTGATCCATTATGTCAAACATTTTTGATTATACAATGTTTAAATGTAGTTCAGACATTTTATTTAAAGGCAATCCTACTTGGCTGTTATCTTCATCTGAATCTACAGAAACACATGTTGTCCATGCATCAACAACCAACTGTGATTATATAAGTAACAAGAACAGTCAATACAAAAATAGATTATATATATATATATATTGTGCAGTCTTCATCAATCCAATATTCGTCGATATCTCTTTTTCTCCTCTGTGCTTTACCCCAGGCTTCTTTGGCATGTGGACTTTCGGCCGGGCGAACAAACCGAGCGCTCCTCCGTTAAAGAAGGTGGTGGACGTCCCAAACATCCGGATGCTGGAGCTGACGGGGGATCTCATTGGACACTCAGGAGCTGTCCAGGTATGATCTTTATGATTTCCAAACGTATGTTCTACTTTAAAACAGTGAGACAGAAGTGCTTCACCGATGTTGTGCCTGTGTCAGATGTTCGTGAGCTTCAGGGAGAACGGTTTGGTCACCTGCTCCACGGACCACCTGCTGATCCTGTGGAAGAACGGAGAGAGGCAGTCCCAGCTCCGCAGCCTGGCACTGTTCCAGAAGCTGGAGGAGAATGAAGGACTCTGACCTTTGACCTGCTGCCTTGAGATGTAAAGCTTTCCCGTGATGGTCTTATCTTTGTAATGTACTGTTTGCTTTAAATGATCATGTTTGTTGTTTGCACCTTCAATTAAAGTATGTAACTTAAAAAACTCCTCCAATTTCCAATCTGTGTTTAAGCATTATATGGTTGATGTGAAGTCAGACATCTCGGAGCTCAGCACGTATATTATTGGCTTCTGCTTTTCTGAAGTTCTCACTTTGGGAAAAATGCTAATTTGCTTCCTGAAAAAGTTAGATATGTAGATTCCTGTTAGATTGGTAGATTCCTGTTAGATTGGTAGATTCCTGTTAGATTGGTAGATTCCTGTTAGATTGGTAGATTCCTGTTAGATTGGTAGATTCCTGTTAGATTGGTAGATTCCTGTTAGATTGGTAGATTCCTGTTAGATTGGTAGATTCCTGTTAGATTGGTAGATCGTTACCGGCTAAATATCTGTCCCCTAAATATGAAGCTGCAGCCAGTTAGCTTAGCTTAGCATAAAGATGGGGAATAGGGAAACGATTGGCTACCATCACCTCTAGAATTCATTTCATTGTATCGCCTGTCACATACTCCCAGTGAATCGTGAATTTGTAATGTTTATGCTTCGGTTGAAAAAAACAAACAACCTATGATGTGATGATTAGTCAAATTAAGAATATTTGTTTTGACAACGCTATCCATCTCCTGGCTGTAGACAGATCTTCTGATCCAACTCCTTACCAGAAAGCGAATAAGTACATTTCCCAAAATGTCAAAACTATTCATTAACATTTCTGGAATGCCATTCCTGTCACAACTTGATATTTAAAGAATGCTTTAATCGTCTCTCACAATACATTTTGGTGTTTGACAGAGAACATCAAAATAAGACATCATAATCCAGAGAGCAAACTTAATTCAACTTTTCAAACAAACAAGGTAGAGATTTAGTTGATCTGATGGAAAGCTTTTTGTTCACAACTATGCACGAGGCAGTAACATCTTTCAAAACACACATTACAGTTCTCATGGCCAATAATCTGTCTTTGAAAAATAATTTGTTCTGTATATAATGTTGTCACTTTCTAATTGTTGTTTATAAATGATAGAAAACCACACAGGATTGGCACGCAGCCACGGCCATCGGTGTCAGAGATGGAAGAGAGGAAATAGAAATCACTGTTCGTGATGAAGGCTTATCATTAGTTCATAACAAGCAGTTCCACAATCTGTCAGTGCCTCAGCAGACTGAGATCTGATCTAATCCATATCATCAAACTCCAGTCACTGCTGCTCACAGGAAAGGCATGTCAATCTAAAATATTTCAATCGTCTTTGTGTATAGAAATCTTCATTATCGACTAGCAAAAATATCTTCATGTGATGAAACATTCAGGGCTGCAGCCACATTTCAAGTCTGAGATTTTGGAAATCACCCCTGCGACACATAACCGCTAAAAAAAAGTGACAAGCAAATAATTGAAAATGTAAAGCAAAAATAATAAAGTGGGCGAGTATTTACAGGAACAGCAGGTACATTAGGTAGTTTACAGTGTATTGCAACAATAGCAGGCCTAAAACACTGAGACATGACAAGATTAAGGCTTTGATTAAGACCTTGGTCATCAATAAAATGACAACACATTATTCTGAACACATTGAAAGTGGACCAGTTCTCTACAAAGGGAACTGAAAGGAGATCTCTAAAAGCAATAGTGGAATTCACATCTGATCTAACTTCCCCTGATTCAACCTCAGTCGTACAAAACAGAAAGGATCAAATGTGAGGACCATTGTGACAGAACCATTAACACTGACTCACAAAACGGTAGCACAGACCATAAAGCAACATATTGTAGGTCGTTATTTTATTCTAAAGTATCTAAAACATGTATGGCTTTTTTTTGAGAGAAGAGGAGGACATATTGCAACTAAAAGTACTTCTGTTTGCACGAAATTATAAAATAATAAGGCACCAGTATATAACTTTCCGTGCCTTTAGTTAATACTTTAATGAGCGTTTGTTGGAGTTAAACTCAAGGGTAATATGGATATCTGCAGATTGATTACTGTTTGATGTCCAACCCAATTGTTTTATGTTAAAATTGAAAGTTACACAGAAGCATACACTAAGAGGTCATTCTAGTTAAATGCTCATATTAAAGCAAAATAAGAAATGTTTCTGGTAAAAGTGGGGTAATGTATCTAAATCTGATTTTCACAGATTTAATGTTGCTACTGCAATTCCCCCATGTGGCCACCAGAGGGCAGACACTTCCTGCACATATCACCATCTGAGGGTCTTGTTTCTCTGAAATTAAATAATCTGAAAATCATGTGCAGACTAGATTTTTTCCCCGAATGCAAGGTGAGTTGCAAGATTTCTAGAAACAGTCAAACCGGTTCAGCAGAAACCACGTGAGAGCGGGAGCAGATGAGCAGACGGTCGATCTGCAGCTGCTGTTTACAAGCTGGATCCAAACAAGATGAGGAGCCTGTTCCTACATCGAGAGGTCACCGAGAGGTCAGACACAGCGACTCACTGCTTTGACGTTGCATGGACTCTACAGGATTTGTTTATTTCGTACAGTACAACATTCATGGAAAGGTTATTCTTGCTTAGATCCTCCCAAGTCAAATGTGTCCTTCCTATGTGGGTGTCTACAGTTGGTGTCACAAAGCTATGTTATATTTTTACTTAATCACAGCTAAATTAAGCAGCTCTGATACAGTGCAATTATGTTCCTCTATTTGATCTTAACTGACTTCTTCCACAGTGCACAAAGGACAATGATACCGTGATGAAGCTACATGATCTTTAAACCAAGACATAATCTCAAACGCAGCAGCCCTTCTTCCATGGCAGCTCGGATACGGGGCTGGACATTTAGAAGCATGTTCTCCCTCTCTGATTGGACCCTGGTAATTGGCTAAATATGATTTCTGATACTTTATCATTAAAGTTTTTGGTCCCAGACACAAGTCAGAGTCTCATACTGTAGACAGCATCACAGCTCATAGTAATGGATGGTTCCAGGTGAGCACCTTCACAAGTTGGCATCTTGAAGGAACAAGCTTTCACTTCAGTGCCTGTAGCTTTGGTCACCATCGTATTCAGCAATAGACAGACGTAGAGTGAAAAGATTTACAGGAAAAAACTGTGAAAAGCAAGAGGACGCTCCAAATGGAATAGTCTTGATAAGCTAAAGTGCAGGTTTGTGGTGTGTTACACTGTATGGTGCAGATTGTCAGGTGGGCCGCAGGGGCCACACAGTTTCATGGAGGGGTTTTTAGGAGTAGTGAGTCGACAGGGCCCTCAAATGACAACCTGGTGTCCTCTGGAAGAACCCCAGCTCAACCGAGAACCACGTAAAGGAAAAGAGGCTGTGATTTGAGATTGAAACGGCGTCTCAGTGTCCGTCCTGTCTGCTCTCAGGGTCCCGAGGGCCCTGCTCCGGGGCCGTGTCCCCGTCCAATCACAGCAGAAGAGACTAATTGTTCCAGCGCGGGGCTGCGTTCGCTGTCCTGCCATGCTCCGAGGACTCCGTCAAGAAGCAGGAGGAGGACGCAGGCTCTTACACTTCATCTCGTCCAGGCCCTTCCAGTAATTGTAATTCTCCGACAGATGCTCCATGAGACCAGGCAGGCTGGCGAAGGCTGACGGGAGAAACACACACAAGTTAAGATGGTCTTTCAGCAATACTAATATAAGCTTAATCATTCCTCCTGTTCATACTGGCTGTTAAGATAGACTTTCTTTTAAGAGATGGAAACAGTTTTTGTTTTTTGTAAAAATGTGTGTAAAATCCAGTTAACTTGAGGCTCTAGCAGTCTGGGTTTACTTTTGCACTATGAATAATGTCCCTCCACCGGGGCTCAGCCAGAAATGCCTGGGAAAGCAATGTGTAGGCCGGATTATGGTTTAGTCTGCACATTATTAAATGACTTGTTTAAGCAATAAAGTATATGTTTCTGAAATGTAAACAAATAAGGAGGAAAAGTGCTCCATCTTAAAATGTCTTGTTTTGTTTCAAATATCCACATTATTCAGTTTAAAATGTTATTTAACCTCAGTCAGCAAATCCCCACATTGAAGAAGTTGCGGCTTCCCTAAAAACCTAGCTTAAATTGTTATTTATTTTAAAAGGATGCTGATTAATTTGGTTTAGAATGACTAAATAAATGACCTAATTGTTAAAGGTGGAGTAGGTAATTTTGGAGAAACCAGCTCGAGTGCGCTAGAATTTGAAAATACACAACCGGAAAAAATATGCCATTTCCTTACAGAGCCCCTCCTCCAACACACACGAACGCGCACATGACCAATGAGGGCACGAGATAAGTTTGTGCACAGATGGAAGGCTGACAGGCAGGTAGGCCATCCAGTTACTTTAGCCGGGCCGGGTCAGATGATTGGTCGTGCTTTTTACAGCGCCACGGCTTCCACAGATGAACATTTTTTTATGGATTTTTTGTCAAAGCACTTAAGATATTCATTGCTATCGGATGTTAAGAGCATTCCATGGAATATAACAAAAAGTGTATCTCGAGCCGGTTTCTCAAACTTACCTACCCCACCTTTAAGGCTCAATCATTTAGTGCCAAGTTGACTAACTTTAAAGAAAATTCTACTTGATTAGACTAACTGACTCATATTTACTCGTTTTGTGTACAAAGGGATTGCTGATTTCAGTCTTAAAATTCAAATTGCATCATGGGGGGGATCTTGCATAAACTGCAGGAACACTCACAACGAATAACTCTTCCAGTGCACACGTTTTAAGACCTAAGGATTCTGTGAAAATAAAAACCGCTTCAGAAATCGGTGAGATAGACCTGCTATCAGGCATGCGCTCAGGAAGATGTGTGTGTTTGGTTCATGTATATTTGCTAATGTTTTAACACACATCAGAGTTGCTCCCACATTAAAGGATCCCCCTTCCCTCTGTGTGTTGTTTACTTCCTCTTTTGGTGACCCACAGCGACCCTGGTGAATTGAAAGCGGCTGCTGCATGTGTTTTAGTGTTTATTCGTAAGTGAAATTGTGCTCTTCCCTCCCTTAACCGAGTGATCGTGAACCCCCATACCCTTTACTATTTTCCCAACTCCCCCTCCCCTCACAGCCTCGCAGTTTCTCTCCGTCCCACTGGCATTTGGAAACTTTCCGTGACATCAGAGCTGCGTTGACAGTAAACAAGTTCCCTCTTGGGGAGACTAAATAAAAGGAAATTCAGTGGGAATGAAGAACTTAAAGAACCATGATGTCTCTTCCCACTTCTCTTGTCTCCTTCTCATCCCCTTCCTCTGATTTCCTACCCTGCAATCTGCCAAGAAAAATGAAGAAATCCTTGGAGGCATTTATGATTTATGATGCTCTGTTTTATCGTCTGATGTTTTGTTTCGTTCATTACATTTCAATAGCTGAACAAATCAGAAATGCGGGCAATGATTCAGAGTCTTCCAATAAGGCTGGTTTTGAGAAATAAAAGCCAATATAAAGGAACAGAAAGTGTTTAAAAGCTTAAGCATCTGCTATGGTGTTTTTTAGAAAAAATATCGACGTGCTACTATGACTTTATTCTGACACACTATACATTTAAGTTGTTTCCGACACACTATGACTAGTTTTCGACATACTATAATATGACTCTTTTATAGTTTTCAACATACTATACTAGGACGTTTTTTCTGTTATTATTATGTTGTTTTTTTCCTGATAATTTCGACGTACTATACTATGTCTTTTTTTCGACATTCTTTTCAGGAATTAAAAAAATACTTTACTTTGACTTTTCTTTTTCTTGTGTTAAACCCTGTGTAACCGGATTGAAGCTGACTGCTCCTCAGATGAAAATCACTTGGATGACCACCCTCAATACAAATACATTTAAACTTGAAATGTACACTTATTGTCAGTGAAAAATAATAATAGCAATACTCAGTTTCAAAACTTTTGCTAAGACTAGGGATTTTAACACTTGAGGTTACTTTTCTTTCATGAGCTTTGATAGTTCTGGAGGCAGGACACCAGACTTATGGAAATTCATTTTAAAATGTTCTTTTTTGTAGAAATATATTGCAATCACTAATCTTTAAACGTACAACCTGCAAAACCCTCAAGTGCCCCAAGGGGCATGGTATGTCGTTTTTTTTTCCGACATACTTTAAATTTGACTTTTCTAGACATACTTTACCATGTCGTTTTTTCTGAAGTGTTCAATATACAATACTGTCATTTTTTAAATAGTTTTTTTTTAAATACTAGTAAAAATGCACGCATAAACACACACAGGAAAATATTGCTCTTACCATCCCAGGCGTCAAACATATCAGTGATGAAGTAATCCATGAAGGAGATCTGAGATTTGGGCACACTGCAGGTGTTCCTGTCAAACACCGGCATCACCACGGGCAGCCCCTGCCTCTTCTCCTCATCTGTCTGCACAACACACACACGCGCACGCACACGCGCACGCACACACACACACGCGCACACACACAGAGAAAGCACATTGAAGCTGTCAAGCTAAATCTGAAGCTTTGAATGTGAGGCCGCATAAAAGATTTGACGAAGTGAGGTGATAATAATGATAGAAATAAACATGCCTCTCTTTACATATACAGTTCTCAGCTTTTGAATGCATTGTTCGATCAAATTGAGCTGACTTTTTATCCTATTCTATCTTACATTGTTTACCTACTTCTGCATTTAACTTGCACCATTGTATCACTTGCACTATTTTATATTTTACTTCCTCATTTCTTGTATGTATATAGAATGTTGCACAGCTGTAGGACCCTGTAACTTAATATTATTGTTGCCAAATTCTGTGTTGTAGCTATTCTGCTTTTGACAATAAAACCTTTGAATCCTTGAGTCCTCAAATGAGTGTTGTCATGTGTTACCTGTGCAAAATACTCCTCAGAGATGCGCCCGGCCCACTCGATGGAGAGCTCCAGGGGTCTGCAGGGGTTCGCCACATCGGCACACTTGATCAACATCCTCTTTATCAGCAGACGGTTCTCCGGAGAGTTCCTGATGTTGGCCTGACCGTCACAGTCGCTGTTCACACTCTGCACATACAGATGATACATGTTTGCTAATACACACATTTAATGAGATACTCTGTCGGATAACCATTTTTTAAATGATAAATTATACTTTGACTATTATGACATGTTATAGGACATACCATATTTGTTTAATTTTTATTATATAGTTTACTTTCATGCTATCCTATCACTTTTCAATTATTTCTATAGTATACTATACTATGCATCTTTAATTAAACGTCATCCTATCATATGTTTTTTTAATGACCTTTTTAATTAAATACTATTTGATGGCTTTTTGTACCATGTTTATGATATAATATGACTTTCTGTGTTCTCTCTATATTTTATTGTTTCATACTATCCAATCACTTTTTTAAATGACATATTTTATAATATTTTTACAAGATACAATACTATGACATTTTCTAAGGATTTTCTCAAACTACCATGACTTATTTTTGTATTTTTTACAACATACTATTACATTTTTGGTTCCTTCCTAATTATTTACACAAGTCTTTATGCATTACCACCGTAACAATTATTAAACCTTACAGCTTAACAATGCAAAGTCATAAAGTATTAAAGCATTCTCTTTCAAAATGAATGTTTCAAATGATTTTTTCAAAAAATCTCAGCAAAAAATGTAGGAGTTCTCTGCACTGGATTTTCTGGGACATATTTAAATTTAAAATAAAACAAACTCAGCACACTTACACTGGTGCTGGTCTCTTCTATGGCCGCCATTGGCTTGTTGATGCTGTTGACAAACTTGCTGACGTGCTCAAAGTGTCGAGTCATCTCTGTGGCCAGCACCATGTCGATGATTGCCTGTCGCAGTGTTCTGAACTGATTCCTGTGAGCAGTGAAGGGGATAAAGTCAGGGTCTGGATCCCTCTGATACTAACACAGGGACTAACCTGCCGGTACGGACCTGTCTATGTTCTTGAAGATGTTGCTCTTGCTGTCTCTGACGGTGAGCTGGAAGGCGAGGGCGGCGTGGTGACTCTCCAGCACCGCCGTGTCGTTGTAGAGGATGGCCAGCTCGCTGCCGGCGTTACACAGGAAGGAGTTGGTCCGGCCCGGGTGGTCCACATCGTGAACCGTGGCCGCTATCAGGGCCGCCACCTCATCCAGCTGGTCCAGACTGCTCTGAAGAAAACACACACAGAGGGGGGTCACACACACTGCTGCTGACCAGCCTGGTTTTAATGCTGTAGTGTTCATAGATCAATCTGTATGATGGATTATCAGATAGACAACAAATGATTACGTATTGTTTTAGATACTTAGATCTATCATACCCTGATTTTTTCAGATCACTTCTACCTCTCTTCAAAAATAAGCAACCACAAGTAGAATTTATAATAATAATTTTAAGCAACAACATTTCTTTGCGACAGTGTGATTCTTGAGATTCCCTTCGATGAGTTTAATTTGCTACAGTATGTAAGGCAAGTGAAATGCATTGAATCACAGCATGGATAAGGTCATTTTTGCAAAGAAAGCGCTTTTACAGGGATACAAAAATGGAAAGAAGCCACAAGAAGAGCACCAAAAGAGGGACCGCTCTTATATATATAACTGCGAGAATCTGACAGATCTTTATGAATAAACACTATATCTGTGGTTACAGGTCCTAATTATTCATCTCTGCTCCTTGACATGAACATGTGAAGCTATGAAATCCATGACTTGTTAAACAGCATTAGCAGAATGAATAAGAGGTGTGTATTCTAAGACTTAACATTATTAGTATAGCATCTGCTACCTGAGAGCTGTTCACATTATTTAAAAAAAAAGGGAAAATGTTGTCAGTTTGTCCAAAATCAGATGTTCTTCTAACCTTGACCCTCTCTTTGCGGAGGAAGTAGGCGGTGGCGTGCAGCACGTCTGCGGCGTGGGTGGAGTTGTGGTAGGAGTTGGAGGAGTGGTAGCTGGCCTCCATCAGCTGCAGCCAGGAGCGCAGCGTGGCCTCCGAGCAGCTCAGGAACTCACACACCCCGAAACTCGTGAAGATCTTCAGCCCGAGGTACGTCAGCGGTCTGCAGAATCACACAAAACACTTTACACAGTGCTGACTCATGTTAGGCTCTTTTTGCTTCATCATGGTATCCCATCCTACTGTATCTTACCTACTGTATCCCATCCTACTGTATCTTACCTACTGTATCCCATCCTACTGTATCTTACCTACTCTATCCCATCCTACTGTATCTTACCTACTGTATCCCATCCTACTGTATCTTACCTACTAATTGAGTGAATTCGAAAATATGAGAAAGGTTGACTGTCCTTTGGTCGACTAGTGAGATGAGAGGATCAATGTTTTCTTTAAACTCTCAGCAGATAGTAAATACGTGTATTTCCAAAACCTTGAACAACTGTTTATGTTTGGACTTGAGATGATTATAACAGTTTTTGTCATCTCGACTTAATAACATTCATGCATTTGTCTTCACTATTCATAGGATATTGATGAGATTAAACCATATTTCTGAAGGCAGAATGATATGAACGTGCCAGTGTAAAGAGAGCACCAGAAGAGTTTCGTTACAGAAATGGGTTGACTGAAAACTCAAATTATAACCACGCAATATTTAGCTTTTCTTAAACCTAAATAATTTTGAACAGAGACAGTCAAACAATCTAGATGAATAAAAAACACTTAAAGTAAGAGGAAATACATATTGTTTATTTTGGGGCGCGCTGTCCATTTTATTTCCCCTTCTCTTGTACCTCTTGTGTGTAGCCGCCTCCAGCTCCAGGATGTTGAACTCCCAGCAATCCTCATCGTTCAGCATCTCAGCGATGGGGGGGGGGGACGTCACTCAGAGTGATGGGGATGGCCAGCTGGCTCTGGCTCATATCTAGCAGATAGACACACGAACACACATTAACAGTTGGTGATTTGACCATAAAAGGGGCAAACCGTGAGGGGGCTCCGTGTTGGATTTGACGGGTAAATAATAAATGGCTTCACCAATCTTAGCTCTTCTATATACTGATATCTATATACATGTGCACTCATCCTGGCTGAGTGCCTCTCTTTGGGAATCTCTCCCTTTGAGATGCTGTTAGAAGATGGTGTCTGTTTAAGAGCAGAAATAGCTGCAGCTCTGAGAAAACAATACTGTTTCCCACTTAAAGACAGAAAAGACCATTTCCTGGAAAATAGGCCCTTGATTTTCTCTCAGTTAAGTACTCTCGTGATTGTAATCATTATAATTGGGTTACGAAATAAACTCAAATGGAAGAATCACAGCAATAATCACTTTATGAATAATATTTATTTAAAACAGACCTCATGTTCCATACTGTTTGTGAAGATGAAGGCCACCTTCTACCCTTTTCTTAATGTATACTATATCATACATTATGAGAGCACTATTACATTCTTTATTTATGTTACTTTGGACAGAGCAAGGATAACAGTTTCCCCCTCCTTTCAGTATTTACTGTACAATACACTTAACCCATGAACGAAGTTATTTAGTAGACAGACATTTAAGAGGTAGTATATGGTATTAATATTGATATTATATCAGATTGATACATGATAACTGATATGTGACAATACAATTGTTGGTTAAAGCTTACTTTTGCAGAAGACATATTCATTCCCAGAGAGTCTCCGCAGCCCATCCTGGAGAGAAAGACATCAGAACAAGTTTAATTATCTTTAGGAAAGAATGTGACTAGGATGAGGGGTCATCGCAATAATAAAACATATTTCATCATAAGCTGCAGCTCAATTTAATCTAAAATCTTTTTCTGCAAAATACATATTAGAAAAATGTACTGGTGTTTATATTATAACTAACCAGATGAAAGGACAATAACCCACTGTAACAGTACACTGACTACCGTTTGAACACAGTTGAAGACACAAATCTTAAAAAAGACATCATAAATATAAAAATATATATAAATAAAAAACACACTGTAATTGTTACCAGGTTAATAAAACACAAGTTACTTGTGCATTTGTTTGGGATGGCTTAAAGCCTTGAATGAAGGCACACTTGTTTTTAGTCTTTCTTAGACAGAAATTGGCTTTGGACATTGTTAGTTTTGGTCTTAACATGAGATTGGTAGACCACAGCAATAATAAAAAAGAACAAGGTTAGAAAAAGTTATAATTTAGTATTTGCTGGAAGTTGCAGTAAGACCAACATCTGCGTGCAGTGACTCACCTCATAGTTGGTACTATTCAACAAATTAGGAAGTTAAATAAATAAACACTCTGGCACTCTGAAAACACAGATTTGTTTTTGGAAGCCAAAAATGTCTTGGTTCAAAAGGAATGTTTTTTCCATTTCACACGCATGAGGTAAGAAACGTTTTTACAATGCGTGGACAATTAAAGACTATACCTAACTTCTCCTCATAAAGACTTTCAACCACTTGTACTTATGAATGAAGCATATACTAAGTACCATAGGCGTCATTTATACTGGGGACGATAGGGACATTGGCATTAGGATCATTTGTTAAAAAAAATCTGAAAATAGCGTGCACAAAGAATTGTACACTTTGCACAAGAGAACATGTACAATCTTGAGGACTATTCACACTTTCTGGGTGTACTTCCTGTTACACGTTTAGTGTACGTTTTAATGACATATAGAAAAGTAAAGCAATTGTTGCTCCCGCTTTGCAGCAGCTTAGCACTGCACTAGTTGTAAAAAAGTATGTATTGTTTGCGGGGGGCGTTTAATGCAGTATTGTTTTTTTATCTGAAAGTGCCCCCTACACCCCATGCTAAGTATCCACACTGTGTCTTACACTCATGAGCCCCCCGACCAGGTCGTTGGTGTGGGGGTCGTCTTCTTTGGAGGCGAGCTGCGGAGAGTAGAGCTCGGTGGTCCTCAGGATCTCCAACACCCGATCCAGGGCCTCGGCCACCGTCACCGGACTGCTCTCCTGGGCTGCATTGATGATGTTTATTACCTGGGGAGGGGGAAGGAAAGTCTCTATTCCTGCTGCAAACAGACACTACATACATACACTTGCACAAAGGGCCCTCTGCAAAGCATGCTATAAACAGAGTGCTCCTTTCTTTGTGCATGTGTCAGTGAGATGTGCATGTGATGCTATAGAAATGTTGTTGGGGTGAAAATGGCTAATAAAAATCTGTTTCTCAAAAGAACAAGAGCATCACAGGACCTGCAGCGGGACAATGTGCTGTACTGTACACTGTACGGCCTGACCTGGGTTATAATGGGCTCTGCTCCCCCCAACCCTCACAGCATGACAGCAGTCACGGAGAATTCAGAGAAGCCAAAAAAAACAAAAAACTGCTATCTTTTGCCCTCATGGGAATGAATAGGAAATCAATTTGAAGAAAAGTAAAAAACAGAGGCCCTTCTCATTCATTTGACTTTAACTTAGAAATAGGGTTGAAGTTGAAGCGGCTCTTGAGACCCTGGATTAAATTGACTTCAAAAGGTGATTTGATACATAGCACAGTTTTCTTGCAATGTATCAAAGTAATGTGTTCATTCTGCCCTGATTGCACTGCTGCTGTTAAAAATGGTTAGCTGCTTTGAACTGTTTTACACCGTGTTGCCAGAATGACTAATACACCATTTTGTTTCATGTTATGTAAGGACAATAACGTTTTCTTATCCTACACTAAAATGTTAGAATTTGAGAATAGACATACTTAGATAACGCCATGAGCTCAGCATCAGCTGGTTCTGGATCATAAAAGCACTACATTCTTGGTGTAAATCCAACATGTGCAACCTGGTGCTGCTGATGGAGGAATGAACTCTACTCAGTTATTTCTACACTTGAAGAAGCATTTGTGTTGAAAAGTGCTTAAGGCATACAATTGTTAATTGGAAGTGGGAACGTTTTATTTCTCAGGTTTAACACAGTTTGACTATCATTGAAGAGGTGTAACATGAAATACCTTTGTGATAGGAGCCTCGATAGTCATGGAGTGAATCCTGGCGACGGAGGAATATCTTCGATTCTGTAAACTGGGAGCTGAAATCAAACAAAAAAGATTAAATGTATCATGATGGCGTGGCTTGTTGATCCTAATCTTCTACTTATTAATAGCATCCATAGGGCCTGCAATTGTAAGCTTCAGAGGAAAGGATATACAGGAAATGAACAAAAAAGGACAGGAGATTTTAAAATAGAGAAATTGTTGATACAAGAGTAATGAAGGAGGAGAGGAAGAGGTTAAGTGGTTTGATTGAAGAAGCAGACAAAGCAGCTGAAAATAGGCTCAGCTGTATCAAAGGGAGTCGAGGGGGGGGGGGGGGGGGGGGGGGGGGGGGGGGGGGGGTACGCAATGTCATCAGCCCACCACATCTCTCTGTGTTCTTCCTATTACTTTATTTCTTTTGTCCAAAGCGAAAAAAACTATAGCTCCAGATAGTCCAAATTAAAGACAGACAAAACATTAGAAAAGTCTTACCGTCACTACTGCGAGAGCTGGTGGATCTGGCATCAATCGAGTCTTTCCTCCTGTCCCGGTGACGTAGAGAATGGCACTCTGTACAGAGAAGTTGTTCATTTCATTAAATGTGCAGTATGTTAAGACTGATTAAGGGAAGGATTTAAACTGATATAAGTGAGTTTAAGGGCTCCTTTTCTTCTGAAGCCATTTTTTAATCTTGCACTAGTTTTAAGGTCCTATTTATTAGCAATACATGCAAGAAACAGAGCTGCAGTCAGAGGGGATTCATCTCGATACATCAATACAGAGACAGCTAGGGCATTTTACAACAATGAATACTGCTATAAAAGGTTATGATAATCCTTTTTAAAAAGAGTGCTATAGCCACATGGATAAAACATATTCTGCCTGCTGCTTGATAACAAAATGTAAATCAATTCAAACCAAAGTTGTAACTCTTGTTTTTTTAACACAGGTAACCAGAAAGGACATTTTCTCATTTTGTTTTTGTACATTCACATCTGGACTTGCATGCATATTCAGATATAATAATAACAGTACTAGATAAGTGAAAATGTGACCAGGAAAGTAAAATGAAATGCAAATTAGATGAATGAGTGTGTGCCAAGACCAAATCAAATCTATACAAAAAGGAAAATGAGAGGTCTTAAATGATATAATGACAAACATCATTTCTAAACAGACAGACAGATAGGAGGTTAAAAAGTATAAAGTATATGTACATATAAATGTATACAACTTTACATTTCTTCATACTAACACACTAAGAAAAATACAGTCAGTTTGTGAGGCTTTTTATTTTCACTCAGTGATTCAAATGTAATGGAAGAGTGCTTGGGCTCATCTAAAGCATGTCATACTACATTTATTACTATATTTACTTCTAAGGCTTGGATAAAAATATACCAGTTCAATAAAGAGACTGTCAACATTTAAAAACAGTGTTTTAAGTTACCTGACTGTGAATGCTCCCCGCTGCATTTCTCCTCCTTGTTCAGCTTGTGGACCTGACAGACAGAGGAACAGTTCATTATACAATGTGCTTTGACAACACTGTGTTTTTGATATGGTCATGCCGATAAAGCTTCTTTGAATTGAGATCAAAGTCGATGTTGGACCAACACCAAGGGTCACAGCTGTGAGGAACCTAATCAGCCTAATGTCCTGCTCCTTGAAGGCAACACGCTGGCAAGATGACTTCTTAATTCCTAGGACTTCAATCTTTTCATCTCACCCAAACAACCTTTTGTATTTCAAATAATTATAATCACCAGGCTTAAAAAGAGCCACAAAGATGTCACTACATACACTGTTGCCCATAAAGTTGTTTATTTCGTTTTCAGACACATTCCTCTTTTTATTCCTATTTCATTTTCAATGCGATATCTTTGAAAGAGATCAATCAATACATTTCTGAGAAGATATACACTTTATCTATCAAGAATAAATCACATTGTCAAAATCATTTCATGAGAGGAGGCAAAAAAAATAATAGATATTAATTTGTTTCCCTTTGAAGGGAAACCAGCTGTTACATTTCCATTCCATCACCTTTACTGTGTGTGTAGTTTAAAGTACATCTCATTTGTTTAGCTATCAACAGGCTGATCTAAAACAGAACTTAAGAAGCGGACACCAATTTGTCAGAGAGAGTGTGTGGGACAGAAAGTTGGATATTTTAGCCTTTCCAAAAACCTTTATAACACACTATAGGAAAGGGAACCCCCCCCCCCCCCAAAAAAGCAGAAAAAGGTCCTTTAAAGTGCAGCTAATGGTATACAAGAATGATGCCAAATCAATGTAATAACATATACAGCACATGTTTCTATTTTATTCATGAATGTAGCGAACACTTCCACTGTTTGAAATAACACTTTTTCATGCAGGTGACAATGTGTGCAACATCCTGTTAGTCACACTGAGGTTATGTAGATGTGGATAAGTAGATCCGGTTGAATCCGGTTACAGAAGATTTTCCTCACCCAGTGACTCACTGCACCTTTACATTATGCTGACAGTTCACCATGCACATGTTTGCAATGCCAAATGTGTACATACAAATACATGTATGCCTTTACTTGTACAAATATATGATTTTTTATAATTTGACACAGGAAATTGTTCCTGAAAAGTTGATTTCCTTAGATTTAAATTAAACATCCCCCATTCTTAAAATATCTATGTCGCTTGCATTGACGTCTCCACTGTGTCCCATACTGAGTAAATAGGATTAAGACAGTGTAAACACTTCTAATGACATACATGGTTGCCAGATTTTGCTGGCTACATCTTAATGGGCTTCTTGGTTTGCTAAACACAAACAGACAACTCAAAAAAGAATCTTCTGAATTAACTCGACTAGAGCTGGGAAATAGTTGAAATAATGATGGCCTTTAATTGAGAGGAGAAAGACAAACAAAACTGACCCTAAACCTGCAGTAAGTCTGAAGTGCTTAGACAAATACTGCTAACTAAACAACACTATGAAATGGAAACCGTGGTCGACAGCCAAGAGTCTGGGTGGGAATACATGAGGAATAGCGTGTGGTTTGAAGTGCTTTGAGGAACATGTCATAAGAAAGGATACAGTATCAGATCAGTGTTAACCTGACCTCTGTAGCCTCGGGTCATCAGATGAATACAAGTGTCTCAGTGAAGATGCAGTACATGCCTCTAAGCATGATTTCATTTGAAATGTCATCAAATAAAACACTTTTGTTCCTACTTTGCGTAATAAAAAGTGTGGTGAAAATGCTTTAAAAAAAGAAGGGGCCCCCCTGGTAAAGCCATTCAGTTGGACACTGCATGATTCAGATGGGGATGACCTCCGAGAATATGATCAGGCCGCTGCCGTGTCTAAGGATTCCCAATCCCAAGAAGGATGCCATGTGGCTTTGGCAGGCAGATGCCAACGTCTGACTCACCTTCTGTCCACACCATGAAAAGAGCAATGAGCTACAGCTAGTCTCTGCACAGCTTTGCCTGCGGTATAAATAGCCCTGGCGCCTGGCTGATATCCCTGCCTGGCCTTAGCAGGGGATCCTGGTGCTTAGCCCTAGCTTAGCATAGTATGACGTTATTGGCCTGAAACCCAGCTGCTGCAGAGAAAGTGTGCATGCTGCTCAACAGAGCTGCAAGCCTGTGAGGCGACACAGTGGAGGAGGAAGTACTCCGATGTTTTACTGAAAGAGTCCATATTGTGCTTTTTTGGGGGTTTCCCTTTCCTGTAGTGTGTTATATAGGTGCATGATATTGGGCCGCAAAGGCTTAAAACTAAGTCCCTTGTTGTAAATTAAAGCATGTAAACATGTCACAGTAGAGGCACAAAATGCAAATATGAAACCTGAAAGTGACCAATACTAGAGTGTAAAATAACCTCGCACATTCAAAATCCATCTTAAGCAAAAGTATTGGCATCAAAATATATTCAAAGTACGAAAAGTAAAAGTACTTATTGTGCATAAAAACCCATTTCAGAATCACATATAGTATTTAATTACTGGATAATTACTATTGATGCATTAATGTGTTAATCACAGCAAGTACAAATTAAGCTAAATTGAATTTCTTAGGTAAACTGCTTTTGCATATTTTACCAATAATGATATGTCATAGTTGAATTATAAGTTTATTTATATTTTGTAATGTATGAGCTAATAATCAAAAAATATGAAGTCACTAATATTGTCAAACAAATGTGGTGGAGTATTACTACAATATTGGCTTCCAAATGTTATGGAGTAGAAGTCTAAAGTACTATAAAAGAGAGATACTAGGGTAAAGTACTCCAATAACGTATTTAAATCCAACACTTGCAGCCTGCAGTTCATTTGACGTATTTATACAATGATTACTGCCAGTAGAGTTAGTAATCTGAGTCCAGTTTGAGTCACACACTCATCTCTGCACGAGACCTGACTGGGCCGAGCCGTGCTGCAGCATTAGGGCTGCTGATGGACATTTGTTCAAGCTGCACGGCTGAAAAAACAACTCACTGTGGTTTCTTCAAAAGGGGGATTATTAGTCTTTTGAAAGTTATAATGTTGTGCACATTTATTTTCTCTAAACAGCTGCTTGTAGGCATTTCAACTAGAGATGTAGGGCTTTGCGCCTGCAAATCAACACATAGGTAACATATTTTCACGAGTTGCTAATTGTGCGGGTAAAAAAACTTTGCCCAGGTTTGAATTGAATAAGCAAAGGTTTAAAAAACAAGATATTTTTGCCACTCTTGATGATCGAACTCTTGTGTGAGTTCAAGAGTCAGAACTAAACATGGAGAAGCAGCGTTCAGTTATAATGCTCTAAATATCTGGAACAAACTCCCAGAATCCTGCAGGTCCGCTGCAACTCTTATTACTTTTAATTCCAGGCTAAAGACTTTTTCCTTTTGCCGCTTGAAAAGGTGTCGGGGAGGCTTTAATAGACAGGTTTATTCACGTATTTTATACCTGTGTTATGTAAGGGATATGGTGCAGCGAGGCGGTCATTATGGGTAAAGGAACACCCGACAGGCTGATCAGGGAGCCGACGCGAAGTATACAGTTTGCTTTTATACAGTTAAATTGACGGACTTCTTTCTGCAGATGTGACCCGGTCTGTACTACTGGATTAACAATGTGTCACATGTTCTGAATTGACCAATTAGAATCGAGTATTCAACTAAGCCATGTAATAATCATGTTTATTTTATTATCTTTGCTTTTTAATGACTGTTTTTAAATGTCATTGTATAATGTGTTTCCGCTGCAATATTTCTAAAGCACTTTGAATTGCCTTGTGTTGAAAGGTGCTATATAAATAAACTTGCCTTGCTCTCTCTTATGATAACTGAAAGTAAAAATAAAGTGAAATGGTCAGTTTTGTATATTTATATTGTATATTCAATAGAGATAATCTTTAGACATATATCTTTCACTCACAATATATAAATGTTTAACTGTTTTGTTTATTTTCTACTATTGATATGTAGGTTTTTACAGTTTACTCAGTTTATTTGATCAGATTTTTCATGTGCCTTGAGCCTTGGGCTCAATAAAGAATATCTAATCTTATCCTTTTCTTTGGAACACATTACATAATCACTTGACTCACCTGATTATTGTTGTCAATATGAGGTCTCTTGATGGCTACAAAATGTCGAATCTTCCTGTTGAAGGCAACATAAGAGTCTGTCAGTAATTCTGATTTCTTGTTAACACACAGTAAGAAGTTTGGTCTGATTTCTCTTAGCTTACCCTCCTTGGCCGATGACCGGCGTTATCCTCACATGTTGTTGTAAACTGTCGCCGGACTTCTTTCTGGCATAGTAAATGCCCGTCCATTCCTTCAGAGACAGCAGAACAGTGAGCCATGATACAGTTTGATCTCATGTCCCAGATGTGTTGGTGGCTCGATCCGTTGACTCACCTTTCCTTTCTTGATGCAGGTGTTGATGGTGTCCAGCAGGTCGGCTCTGTTCTTGTCACTCTTGGGGAGTTCAGTCAGTTCCTTCCCGATCAACTCCCCCTTTTGGTAGCCCATCATCCGCTCAAACGCTGGGTTCACGTACTTGGTAAAAAACAGAGCAAAGTACAGTTAGAAAGTGAACTTTAAGCTCAGTAATAATTGTCTTACACTTAGCAAATCCCATAAAACAACCAAAAAAGAATATATTCTGCTAACCATCGAGGTCAATTGCTGTCCAAAAATACATATGAGCCACACTGTTGCACTAGCTGACATGTTTCTTTGTTACCATGAAAGCACCAACTGTAGTTTCTTTTGAATGCATCCCTCATACCCAATACCAGTTCTTATTTCTTTTTTTGAAGTATTTTTTGGCAAGTTTTACCTCTTGAGGAGTGCCACAAAAATTGAAAACGACCAGCACTATCCCAGATATGTTTTGTTGAGAAGTGGATCTTCTGACTCTTTCTGTGTGCAAGTGTGTGAGTATAGTACCTACCTGTATGATGTGATCTTCACTGGTGATCTCCACAGCCTCTTGGCAGTGCTCCAAAGCAGTGAAGGCAGAATTACAAGCTCTGTGGATGGAAAAAGTTAGTTAGTATATTTTATTTGATATAGCCATCAAAGTAGTAGTAACATACATTTATGCACAAGGCACAGATGAGATATTATTCGCACTTTGATTTATGCAGCGTTAAACTTTATTCGATTGTCTTTAAGAACAAAAGCTCAAAGAAAGTATGACACTGAATACTGTAGATTTAAGCATGCAGATACACTTTTCAGCCATGATATCTCCATTTAGCTCAGCCACAACAAATCCTGATTAATGAATAAAAGATTAGTTTGGTCTGAGTGTATTGCTGCGTTGGGTATGTGCGATGTGTTTTTCCTGCCGTACCTGAGTTTAAACTGGCAGCGCACTTCTCCATGTTCAATCTGTATGAGCTCATTATAGCAGGCCGACACACTGCTGTTCTCCACAAACCTCTGGAGGATACACAGGGTTAAGTAGAGTTTGAAGGAGAAAGAGAGACAGAGAGAGAAAGGGCAATGGAAAATGGAATGAGTCAGGATTTACTCTGTAGCAACCTCCTATGTCATTTTCACACAATCAAACAGTCTGACAATAAGTGTTTCCTTCGAAACCGGCAACTCGATGCTACTTTAGTGTCTGAAGTCTCTTAACGGCTCAATACAAAGCATCTATCAGAAACAACATATAAACACAAAGTCACAAGCGGAGGCAAGGACGTACTCTGCTGAATCCGGCACAGAGGAGAGGAAGAACAGATGGCTCCTCCTGGTCCGCCGCTCTACACATGAGAGGAGAAGATAATCATCAAGCTTCAACCACAGTCCTTTTTCATTCAAATACTTGCAGTGGTCTACACTTGTATGGAAATGTGGATAAGAGGTTCTAAAAAAACATTTTCATGATCAATTAATTACTATAAGTGATGGGTGCCTACGTTAAAATGCAGTATATTCTGCGAAAGCTCAAACTGTTTTTGGTTGTTTTACAACGCTTAAAAGAACATATAGGTGGGTGGAACTCTGCACACTAGGTAGATGCATTATAATGTATTTACACAGAACGGTTTTCAACTCTTTGCAGAATTTCCGATTCATTTTAAGATCCTCTTATTAAAACAACTCTTAAATGTAAAAGCATACCTATAAAAGGGAAGGCTGCAGCTTTTAATGTAAACATTTGAGAAAATGTTATGTTTTTTGAATTGTGGTCCAACTTAACATTGAGGAAAAACAACCAAGTGGTACCGCTGACATGACTGTCTGCACTGACATAATTAGTGTTGTGGTAAAGGACTTTAAGACAAAAGGCGAACATTGAGGAGGTTTTGAGTTCGCTCATTGAGGTAAAAGACTTTAAAGCAGATGTTTTAGAGTACTAAATAAATTAACCTACGTTTTCCTCCTTTTTCATTAACCATTTTACAGATATAAACACCTAAGATTTGAAGTGTCAGGGGTAGTGAGGTACAATGGTGCAAAAACACCTTTAACACAGAGTTTATAAAAGTCTAAAATAAACTTACTTCTGTGGCAAGACGGCCAGAATAACTGTGTTTTCCGAGGGCTTTGTGGCGCGGATCAACCTGGAAATGTAGATTAAAACTCAGAGTCAAAGGAGTCCATTTAATCCACACTGTGAGCTTATGAATAGTGTCTTGCATCAACATGCGGGCAGATTTTGGGCTGATGTCATTGCCACAAAAGAAAAGAAGAGAATATTTTTGAAATTAAAACAATAACACCAAACATGTGCTCCAGAGGGTCAGAAAGCCACACTGCTGGTGGGACATAAGGGGTGGAGGAGGAAAGAAGACATGATGGAGGATGAGAGGAGGACCATAATGAAGGCAGACATCCTCATACGGGATGAGGAAGGGGAATAAAGAATATTGATGAGGGGGAGGAGTGTAGGACAAACACGGAGCAGCTGCCAAACTGTGGTAATCAGGAGACAGGAGAGACACATGGATCTGCTGCTTTACTTGCAAATAAATCATTTGATAAAATATATGACGGTGACTTTTAGTGTATCCAAAAACGTTGGATGGTCTAGTACTGTATCCAACAATTACTACGGCCCCACATCTGTAGGAATAATGACAGAAGTAAGCATGTAGGATAAAGCACTATTATTAGTATTACCCGTTGAATACCCAAAGAGAGAATCAAGGAGAGTTCAACTAAATAAAGGGGCTTTACAAATGTAGTAATGATGCCTAGAGGGTATTCACACAGCATGAAGTCAAACATGGGACACACATTAAACACTTTGACGCATGTGACACCTATAAAAGTTCTTAACACAAGTCTTTTGTTCATAGTTGTTGAAAGATAAAGGAATATCCAGCTTCTAGTCCTTATTTGTTACGATCACCTACAGGTTTAGAATATTCTTCAGTGCCTCAGCAAAAAGAAGAAGAAACTCTTTAAAGTTATACAACATAGACTTTAAATGCTCCCTAAATAAATGTTAAATGTGTGGTATACCTTACTAAAAAAGTATTCAACGCCAATGTACAAAGCCACTTTAACATTTTTGGAATACTAAGAGCTTTTATGTCCGTCTTTCATTCCTTTATTTAAATTTGAATACTTTTATATATTTTTTCTGTAATGTTGATTTGCTCCCTGGTCTTGTGACTTGATTTTGTGTTTTACTATTATTATTATTTAAAAAAATGTTGTCGGTCAAGTGTGTAAACAGCTGAGTTATATATATGTTACATGAATAACTGACTGACTTGAGCATGTATTTGTGAACATAACTAATTGTGGAAAAATATGTAAAAAAACTCAATAAAGATATTGTTTAAAAAAAAAGAAGAAATCAAGTAACCTTGGACAAACATAGCACAGAGCCGTATTTCCAAAACGGACCTAATTAACACCTGGTAAAATAGAAGAAGTAAGGTTCTTCTACACACACAGGAGGATTCTGAAAAGTGGCCAGGGGATTTTTTTGCTGTTGAAAAAATGGACAAGAATGAAAGAAAGAAAGGCTTCTGTGTTTGTACAACTCGTGGTTCCCCTGGGCTAAGATCCAGCGTTCATGTCAACAAACAAACAAACAAACTCACAGTTTGTAGTTCAGGCTTACTCGAGGGCCACTCGGCTAAATAGCCACTTCCACTTTACAGAGTGGGAGAGCAACAGTAAGAGCAACAGACTGAAGTAACTTCAGTGTGCAGCTTCAGGGTTCAGAGAACACCAGAGGGCGCCAACAATCCCTCCACTGAAATATCCCAAAGCTTTCTACAGTTCAAAAGCTGCATTGAGAATTAAATCACTGAAAGTCATTTTAGTATAGCACAGGTTTTACGGAGAACCTCCTGCTGTAATTGAAGTATTGACTGTTAAAGTGAAGGGTGTTTATAATAATATCTTTGTTATTTGTTGTTACCCTTTTGGCAGACGAAGCCTTTTCAAACTCTTTGTTTAATGTCAAACATACATGCAGGTTAGAAGATGGCAAAACAAAAAAAGCCAGATTGCTGTGCCAGTTAGAGTTCTTCAAGGTATCACAGTTCAATATGAATATGATTTCATATCTTTTGGAAAGTTAGATGAAGGATTGATGTATGGGTCACTGTCTGTCTGGTAAACATGAAGCTTTGGCCAGCAGCTTGTTGGATTAGCAAAAATAACTATTTCTCTAATTCATCTGTAATGAAATCCAGAGTCCATAAACTCAACACAGGACACATTACAAGCCAAGTAAAGACTATGTATTAGTTGGATATCCATCAGTCAGTGAAAGAGTACTGGAACATGGGGCTGAGGAAGGTAGGTACTGTAAAGGAGAACATTTGATTTTTTACCACAGACCTCTACATTGATTTCGACAAAATTGTATGGTTGACGGTTGAAGCCTTCACAAATTCAGAAAATTACATGAATTAACTGTAATGCAACATTTCAAACCAAGAAAAGAAAACGCATACCACATTGCAATCCAACAATCTGAGTAGATATTCAATCTCATCACGATAACGATAAAAGACCAAGATACCTACCTGGCCTACTGTAGGCGCGTTTATTTACCTTTGGACATAACAAGGCTAGCTGTTTCCACTTGTTTCCAGTGTATGTGCTAAACTAAGCTAATGGGCTTTAGATTCATATTAACAGTACAGACATGAGAGTGCTATCAATATTCTCATGTGAAATCAGGACATTTGACTACATTGCAGATTTAAGTTAGTTACTGTAGTTATACTGTAGTTAAAGAATTGTTTCTTTTTGTGGATGTGAAGGATTACACAATCTTTGTTTCAAGAAATAATCTGACCCTTTTGGCAGATGAAGCCCCTTCAATTCTATGTTTAATGTCAAGTATGCGTTCTGGTTAGAAAACATCAACAGAAGTCCAGTTTGAATCATTCATGGTATCACAGTGACATTTTATTATCATTAGTGAGCGTTTCTTGTTTGTTTCCAATTGTTTCCAGTATGTGTGCTAAGCTAAACTAACTGGCTGTAGCTTCATATTAACAGTACAGAGACTAGAGTGGAATCAATCTTTCCATGTAACTCTCAGAAAGAAAGTAAATGCAGACATTCCCCAAAATGTTAAAAATGTCCTTTAAGCAACCTTTTTTGATTCTACAGATGACATTGGATTAAAGGTTAAATAAGAAACGACCTCACTGAATGAGCAAATACTTTGTAAGGCTCACCTGCACACAGCTTCAGGCTCAAAGTAGCGTGAGTGGCGTCCATCAATGACTATGATCTCATGGTGTTTCTCCAGGAAACACTCTACGGCGGTCTCGGGGGTGCGTGCGATGTTACACCTGAAGCCGGCGCGGTCGCAGGCCCACCAGAAGGCATCGCTCTGGCTGTCCTCCTTGGCGAACACCAGCAGGACCTGAGGGGAGGAATGGACGCCTGGGTGAGACAGTGCTGCTACTACGGTGATAATTATAGGATATCTCTGTTAGTAGGTCCTCACTACTTTCACTACTCAGACAGGACATTCTCCAGAGCTGCAGACATCCAAGAACCAGACTTCAGATGGTATATGATCCTGACACCGAGGCTCCAGTACCACCAGGGTTACTGACATTATGGGCTTTAATAATACAGTAACTGTTCTAACTGTTGACCCTCTCTTAAAACTTGGAAAACGTACATTTAGGATTAGATTGACAGCAGCTCTGAGATATTTAACCACGTAACACCCACCTGTAGGCCTACAGTATTCCATATTTTTAAGGTTTTTGAGGTCTGTGGGGGGGATCCTTTGAAAACCTCAACAATGATGGGGAATACCATAACTTGTCATAGTGTGGATTACAAGCATTTTGTTGATTTATGTTCACAACTACTTTGAGTTTATCAGATGTATCAAAAGGTTTACATCGATAGTGATGAATTCAATATGGGCCTGAATAACACAGTAACAGATATAACTGTTGACCATCTTTCAGACCCTGAAAACTTAAATTTGGGATTAGATTGACAGTAGTTCTCAGAGCTATTTAACCCTTTAACACCCACCTACCGTTTGAGGGTAGGTTATTTTAGATCATTAGGAAGACTCCATATTTTAAAGATTTAAGGTATAGTCTGTGGGAAATTGTGGATAGGGTGTACACATTGAAAACAACCACAAAGATGGTAATTATATTCTATAGTGTGTAATATATGAATGTATGAATACAAAACACAAGCATTATGTGTATCTTATGTTCAATATTATCAGTATAGGGAAGTTATAGTTATGAATGCAGCAACTCAAAATGTTTCTGTTCTATATTATATGATGCATATTTAAAGTTCAGCTTCTTAGTGACAGAGAAAAAGTTACGAAAACGTTTTGACTAAATAAAAAACAAAGAAAAATAAGTGCTATTTAGGTAAAAATATTACGCTGGTTTAATGTTTACATTTATGTCTCACAGCAGGGAAATCCTCATTAAGAATCTTAGCCTTTCTTCATTTTTTACAAACATTTATTTACCATGTACAGTATAAGGTGGCAGAACCAACATTTATAAAACAAAAACTATTTTTTTTCCAAACCGGATGGACAGATCCTATTACACACTGCAATTGGGTTATTCCCCAATTCAATATGAATACATATATTTTAAAGGATAAATCAATAAATAAAATGGATTACATACAATGAGTTACCCTGTCACAGTTTGCCTCTTTTTCTCTGGGGAAACGTGGGGTTTCCTCTCGCAGTCACATTACATAATAGTGAGTGTGTTCAACCATCTGCATTTGTCCTTGTGATAGGGTGCTGGTGTCAGTGCCTTTTGCTCTTTGCATGCCATATCTCTCAATAGGAGATCAAATATAACTGACACCTGGGCTTAACAGACCATGTCACGTAAACGTCATGTCTTCTCTCACTGAATTATTCCATAAATATAAAAACTGAGCAGCAAATAATCTAATAAACTATAAACTGCGTTTCACACCTACTGTACATACGTGAAGCCTGCAGAGTGGAGACTTTTTGATCCCACACTGTGTTATGACCACAAACACACCAGCCACCTTTGGTACAGTGGTGGGGAAATACAACACTGTAGAGACACATACAATAGAGGCATATGGCACACACACACACACACACACACACACACACACACACACACACACACACACACACACACACACACACACACACACACACACACACACACAGACACACACACACACACACACACACACACACACACACATAAACACACACACACACACACACACACACACACACACACACACACACACACACACACACACATCACTTCAGGGGACATTACATTGACTTACATGCATTTCCTGGAGACTTATCCTAACCTTAACCATAACCAACACATGCCTAACCCTAACCCTTACCCTTAACCTTAACCTTACCCTAACCCTAACCAAGTCTTCACCCTAAAATGAATGATTCCCCTTATGGGGACCTCCAATGTGTCCCCATAAGGGAGGCAAGTCCCCACACGTGACTATGTAAACATATTTAGGTCCCCACAAGTATAGTAATGCTAGGCCACACACACACACACACACACACACACACACACACACACACACACACACACACACACACACACACACACACACACACACACACACACACACACACACACACACACACACAGCTGGGCTGCAGCCAAAACCAACAGTACTCAGCTCTGCCTCTCAGCAGCATCACCTCTTGACTCCCTCTAAGGACAACAAAGGGTAGAGGGAGTGCATGGAGGTGCAGCAGAGAGAGAGGGTACATACACACTTTCGTATAGTTTTAAAATCAGTAAGTTAGTATGTCTACCTCTAGGAGAGACTTGAATCTAGAGAATAACAGGTGAGAACAGCAGAAGAAGAACTAAAATAGGACTGAGGGAGAAAGTGAGCTGGTATTGGTGAGAGCTTGTGAAAGCCCACAGTCTTTGATCCCGTGCTGGCTTGTGTAACCATGCCACTGCTTTGTGTAACCATGGTGCTAACATGTGAAATTCCACACACACAGTACCCAGTCGACCCCTGGACGATGCCTGCAGCACGGCTCTCTGACCCGCTACCCAAATACTGTATGTCACCAGCGATGGTATTAATACCCAACTAAAGTGTACACACACATGGCTGCACTCCATCACAGCACCACTTTCTGAAATGTCACTCACTGTTGATGAAACACACACATGTATGTTTACAAAATGTACATGACAGCATCTTTAAAGTCCATTTTAACATACAAAGCTACCAACGTTTCCTTGTATACAAGCTTAATAGTGTTCTATTGAAAAGACTGAGAGGACTACTCTATATGTTTGAGTGGTCTTTCCTGCTTCAAGGGTGTAGACATTCCTCCTCACTAATAGATGGTATTTTGAATGAAGGGTTGGCTTTGTACATGGAGAACAAAACACTGTACAATGGCTCAACCAATCTGACAGTCAAAGGTAGAAATAAACAAAAAGACCTCTGAGCTACAGTTTAAAGAGAGCAGAAGAAGTCACCAGTCATTGCTAAAAGAGACTGGAAGCTTAGCATCAGAATGTGTGCAGTGTAAAATGCACAATAATGCTTTTCACAAGCTGGTGTGTTGCTTTAGAGTTATATATCAGGCACTCATACTCAATATCCTATCATTTTACTCTAAATCTTATGTTTATATATCGTTCTTTATTCTTTTTTTGTACATTTTTACTTCCTATATTATATTATATTAATCTTTTATTTTATTCATCCTGTAATGGGGTTGACAACTGTCACACAAAATCAATTCCCCCTTGGATTATTAAAGTATTTCTGATTACAAATGCCAGTTTAAATATCTTCAATCTAACCACTGCAGAAGGAGACTGTAGAAGACCCAAAGACAAAATGGCTTCCAAAAATATTTAGAGCTAAACTGCCCCATTGTGGCAATATAATCAGGGTCTCTATTTTTTCTTTACTGGAAAACAAGTTTAAAATATAAGTTACAACAGTATTCTTACCTAAGGTGCAAAACTGTGTGGAAATTGAATACATATAGAAATGCATTCAATCTTTCTTCAAATGTAAATAATATCAGAATCAGATATCCTTTAATTTGACCTGAATTACGGCGTTACATAATAGACGTACATATAAAGTAAAGAGGCAAGCACACTTTAAAAAAACAAAGAAGTACACCATGGTAAAAAAACAAGTGAAGATATAAAAGTATTAAAGGAGCCAGTAATGTTAACAAATTAGTAAATAAGTTGTAAAAATAAAGTGTTATTGCACATCTGTGATAGTGATACTGTTACAGTGTGTATTGGTGTGGTGCTCTATAGGTGGTTGTGGTTGTACAAAAGCTATAACTGAAGGAAAGGCTTCTGTAAATAGAATAAAACAGCTGATTCCAATGTGTTTGAACGAAGTGTAAATAAGAGAAGCTACACAAACAACACAGTCCCGTATTGACTTCCTAGTTTGTTTGAAAACAGCGCACAGTAGGCTGGCGCAGAGACTGATCCCCGACGGCTGCTGCGAGCTGACTCACATTATTTAAGTTCAGAAGTTGATCCGCCATGTTTGCACATGGACTTTGGGAGATTCCCAAACACAGAGGGGTGTCATCGGGCTAACAGGCTTTGAGGACTTTATCCGTGTGGGAGCATCGGAGTCTTAAAGGAGTCCTGCATCAGGATTTAAATGTTTATATTATTCAGTCCTGCATCTACTTGCAACTTCGTATAAGATATGAAGTATGAGCTTATTGACCGTTTTCGAACAATTCCAGGTAAAGGTGCTGCTGCTCTGTGATTGGTGGGCCGTTTTACATGGTGCCAATGCTGTTTGTCTTTATCAATTTTACCTGCAAGTGATGGACATTGGGAAGGACTTTTTTCAGTGTTTTATACACATGCCAATAAGATGTCCCACTGTGCAAGAACTTCCTATTTGGACATGTTTTATTTATGCATATTGTGTGCTTTGCTATGAATGCGATAAACATGTACATTTTTGAAAAAGTATCCTCTTTCTGGAGAAAAGCAGATATTAGTTTTTGGACTATATTAAAAAGATCAATTTGTATATCTTAACCTTGGCTTTAGGACATTTTGATGGTTCACTATAAACTATATACTTTATAGAGATCTAATGTTACATTTATTTATAAAAATAGTTATTGCACTTGAAGCTAGAAATGTATCTGGATGTAAGATAGCTCTGTGTATATAAAAAGGCCACACAGGTTCTGCAACACACAAACTGTATCATACTTTACAGGCTATAAAGCACTTCACTATAAATCAAGATTTCGACCCTTCAACACCCAGCCCTCCTTTGCATTTTTAAAACCTTTGCAATCATTTAGGGATATAAAGTGTTTCAGGATTTACTATAATGTTGGAGAGCCAGAAATCGTCCAAGGTTCCTTTGTTTTCTCTAAATCACATTTTATCTGGACAACGATTATTTTCACATTTATTCCTTTGGTCTAGAACATGTGAGAAATGTATGAAATAGTTCAAAAGAGTTCCAATTCAAAAGTTTTGTATCATAAAAGACTCTGAAAACCAGCACATATTTGCTATGTGTTAAAGAATAGTATGCCTCTACTGTGACATGTCTCCATGCTCTAATGTTCATAAAGCTCTTTGTTTTTCTCATACTGCCTGTGCTGCAGCACCTCTTTTCACCCTCTGTCTGAAACCAGAGCCCAGTCTGCTCTGATTGGTTAGCTGGACGGCTCTGTTGTGATTGGTCAACCACTTAGAGATATCCCACCCCTTAGCCTTCACGTTCAATGTGTTGGAGCGCATAGCAAATAGAAGTGCGACTGTTGAATAGAGATGTCACTAAAACAAAGGAGTCCAATGGAGGGCGGGGGGGGGGGGGGGGGGGGGGGGGGGGGGGGGGGGGAGATAGAAACTCCCTCTGGAAGGAACACAAGGATTTTAGCCTCTGCAGACCATTTACATGCACAAAAACCAATAACGCACTACAGGAAAGGGGAACACCAAATGACCAGTTAGTAAGTTTTGTACCATAGAAAACTCTAAAACCAGAAAATATTAGCTTAAAATATACTTCCCTAAAACAAATAACAAGTTGCTTGTTTAATTGATTCATTTGCTAATAGATTCTGTTTAACTGACCAAATACTTTTATATGTAGTGTTAGCATCCTGCAGGAAAAACAGAGGGTACTAAAGGATCAAAGTAGCAGAATGAAAACACTTTTAGATATATAAAAACGACATGTATGAGAAATATAGCAAAATACAACATGTGTGTTATTTTATCTGTGTAATAAACGAGTGGAACATGAATCATTCGATAAGCTGAAGGCGGAGGTATCTGGACAGCTTGAAACTCTCCAGGCCTGTGAGGCAGTAACAGTAAATGTCAAGGAAAAGTCACTGTATATAACTCTCTCCTGCAGAGCACTTTATCTCCCCCTTTTCATCTCTGCGCTCCAGAGCAAGGGGTGAAGCTGGAGAGGGGCGAGTTAGGTCATGGATCCTGCACAAAGCTGTAGGTAAAACTTTGGGAGGGCAGTTTAAGGGTTTTATGGGGCCTGAGACACGTCTCAGAAGGCGTTTCAATAAAGCCTCTGGTCCCTCCACTTGCCTGCACGCTGCCACAGATTCCTGCTGCGTTTGGCAGAATAAAGAGGTGGAGAGCAGTGTACTGTAGCTCAGCAGGAACCTGAGCGGCATGCCAGGCCTCTCACGTCACTACATTGGAGTAAGAACTAAACTCAGAAAGCCTTGGAGGTCGGTCAAACAAGCACAGCTCAAACAAATTAAATCAAAGCACCTAATAAAAGGAGCCGATTCCTGAAAAGGGACTGGCAGTGAGAGGAATGCTGTGTCGTACCTGCAGTTCAACCAGCTGGTAACCTTCAGACACTTCCTTTGTTACATAAGGATAAATCTGACAAGCACACGGCCTAATCCCCAACCAGAGGATGAGCGCAGACAATCCCTGACTCAGCCCATCCCGCAATATATTAGAAGTTCCTGAAGGGCAAGACCCCAGCAGGACTGACCCCAATACGATTCTCTGAAAGCTATGAATGTAGAGTTAATGAGGGGGTGTAACTTAGGATGAGGGACGCTTACATTGATTGAATTCAAGTCTCTGTGTTTATATGGACCATTGTTTTAAGACAGAACAGTTGTGCACCTATCCTTTAAGATTGTATTAGCATTGGATGTAAACATGCACAGTACAAACTGTTGTATTGGCGATCAGTCCCTAGTTTAAAATGGCAGTTTGGCACAATAATTGAAAATACAAATAAATGATATAATATGACAAAAACTAGGGAAATAACTCAAATGATCATTAATGTTGAGCTAAACAATTCATAATATTAATACAAATAAATATGAATGATATGCATCAATTAATCGTTTGTCAGTTTTGCAAGCTAAAGTCATTTGAGCAAACTTGTTTTGGGCATTTGCCATTTTCTTTCATTTTCAATTATTTATAAAAAAATAACCAGCAGATGCATCAATTATTACATCATCTTTAGTTGCAGCTGCACAATAATGAAAAGGTGTCGAGGAAGCTAAACCTGGTGAAATGCAGTGATACAACATGTAAATAAATGTTTTTGTGCAGACCACAAAATGAGGATACTGTTATGTTGCCATCAGCTTCTTGCATGTGAAGAAAACAGTAACATGACTGTAGAAGTTACACAGTCTCTTACCTGAATGGGCTCTTGAGTCAGTTTCATCGGTCCTACACATTCTTCTGTAGCTGAAACCTGCAGGACACAGATGAGAAGAAATGTGAACAAACGGAACACCAAACACACAACGCAAAACAAGCTGAAAACCCTTCTTACCATTTTATCATTCATGTCCAGAAGCATATTGGCATATTGTTTATTCTTGCACTTCACCACCGTTAATCTTCTCTCTTACCTCCCTTTTTTTAAGTTTAAAAAGTCCAGCAATAACGCAAGTATTCCCTTGAAAAGAGCAACAGTCTGCTGAAAAAACAAATATCAATTCATCTTGGTTGTTTTCATTTTCTAACGCCTCTCCTACCCTGTAGATGTGGATATTTACTCGCAGTCTTAGCCGCCCAGAATGGAACCGTCTACTGCAAACGTCTTAAGAAAGTATTAGCAGACAGCCGCAGATAGAACTCCCAGGTTTACTTACATAATCCTACTGCAGGAGCATCACACACTGAGCTATATGTGTGTGTGTGTGTGTGTGTGTGTGTGTGTGTGTGTGTGTGTGTGTGTGTGTGTGTGTGTGTGTGTGTGTGTGTGTGTGTGTGTGTGTGTGTGTGTGTGTGTGTGTGTGTGTGTGTGTGTGTGTTTTCACAGCCTGTCTGGGAAGCTCCAGCGGGCCTCTTAACCCCATGTGTCACTCTGGTGTGAATAAGCACACACATGTTTACCCCACAAGCAGTGAATCAGCGGTGTACCGTATCATACTGCATCACTTTAGCTATGAGTGTCATGCCCAGGAATTAACCATCAGGCATGTTTTCGAGCAAATTCAGTGTTCATGAGTCATTTTTCTCATTGAAAGGTCTTCGTGTGGCTTATGTGATTTTGTTGCTTATGATCGTAAACACGCACTCATAACCCACAGTAGTCTCTTCCCAGTTAAAGACAAATATCTGAGGTATCCAAGAGAGAGGAGGGACAACGAAAGAAGGGGAGGGGATTTATGTTATCTACTCGAGGTACAAGCTCCATAATAATACATGCAACACACAAACTCTAACCAGTCACCAAGACGCAGCTGTGTGACTAAAGCAGTGAGTTAGACACAAGTTGGTGACTCAACCACACATTGGTATTATTTGTCCGTTGGTATTAGGCTGAGAAGTGAACATACTTCATCCCACATCTCTACTAGCCAATAACGTCATTAAGAGCCTTAGTTGAGACACTTGAGAAAAAGCGTGATTTTGGTTTACATGCATCTATGTTGCTTTAGTAGAGCAATATGATATTACTGTAGAATAATTGCAGCATTTGTGAGCATTAGTATTGGACACATTGTAACACGTTCACTGTCACACAATTGGACAATTTCGACATTAAACTCTACCCCGTTACACAATTTGAAACTGCTTTCACACTTGTTTAACATATTTAGTAACAAGTTTTTTATGTAGGTAATAATAGTTTAGCCTTTTATTGTGACTTTTTATATAGCTTATTTTGTGTATCCTATAGACAATGTGTAGATCTTTCTACTGTTGATATTAGCAGTCTTTATTAACTAATTACTAACTATTAATAGCCTTCTAATGCTGTAACACAATCATTTCCCAATTTGGTGTAAAAAGAGAACATCCATCCATCTACATACTTGTAACCAGTGCGTAAGCTTGTTTGACCCAAATGTGGCAGTGAAAGTGAAAGGAGCTCTATTATGCTCATGTTCAGGTTCATATTTGTATTTAGTTCCTCTACTGTGACATATTTACATGCATTCATGTTCAAAAAGCACCTCTTTTCACCCTCTGTCTGAAACCAGAGCCCAGTCTGCTATGATTGGTTAGCTTGCCTGTTCTGTTGTGATTGGTGAACCGCTTAGATTTCTGCCCGCCCCTAAGCCTCTCACGTACAATGTGTTGCGGCCCTGGCCAATAGAAGCGCAAGTGTTACATAGTGATGTCACAATGTTACATAAGTAAACAAAGGACTACAATTGGAGTGCTGGGAACTTTGGGATGTTAACCTTTGCAGACCGTTTACATGCACAGAAACCTATATCACAACATATGAGAAGCAGTTGTGTCGTCACAGTCATGTGGACCTCACATCAATATTGTTTGTCTCGGAGTGAGGAAGAACTTGGAAGTCTGAGCTAGATTCACTTTAATGTTGTCAGAGATCATGATGAGGTCCAACAAGGCAAAGAAATGAGGTCAATCGAGTAAGAGATGACCCAAGGGAGAGCTAAACTACAGAACCACAGAGTCAGTATGAGAACAAGCAGCATCTGGTGGTTCAGTGTTGAAGGCCAAAGACTTGTGAGACAAAAAGACTGAAGGCACTAAATCATTATTGAGTGCTCCAGTGACAACAAGAAGCACAGACTCCAGAGATGTCAGAGAAAATGAGTAATCGTGTTGTACTTGAGGACGACACAGCCAGATGTGAAACAGAACAGGAAGGAAGGCGCTGGAAAAAGAGAACAATTTGGAGAGTCAGTACATTTACAGTAAGACTATGATTAAAGAAGTGTTGGGTGAATCTGTCACAAGACACCATCTCTACTTAGAGAAGCTGATCAAATACTCACGGAAAGAAAGGAAGGGGAAATAGGTGAAGGAAGATTTACACAGACAAGAGCCTTAGAGTACAAATGAAAAGTACAAGCGAGATGAAGTTCACTTGATTTGTAAGGATTTAGAAAACAAAGAGGCTCAGAAGACAGAGAGGACAAAGTGGATAGAAAATAAAGGTCAGTCTGAAGAAAGACTAAAGTGTTGCCATTTTTGTTATTATCAGTACATGCGAACATGTACTGTAGATGTGGACACAGAAAAATGAATACTTCATACCTAATGAGAAATTGTATTATTAAAGAAACCAATTCAATCAGACACCCAAAGAGGTAGATAAGCAAGACCTTTATATGAATAATTATTGCGGTGACTGGACATGCAACAGAAATTAACCTCGAATTGTGATCTCTTGGCAATTACATTCTTCTTCTTTTTTTAAATCGTACTCGAACACACATTTTCATATTTGTGGAGAGAATGAAAATCCGGATTCATGAGGGCTAAACTGTACCCCGAAAAATTAAATAAAAGTACTGAAAGTGAGGGGAACAGACAGAGCAAAAGAAGAGCGACAGGAGGTCAACACTAACAGGAACACGGTATGGCTTTGCAGTGTTTAAAGACTGCTTAATGGAAAATAAAATGTGAACAGACTTGGACGGATACAGAGAACCTCGATCAGTGCTGCCGTCATGTTAAATAACGTTGCTAGCGGCGCCGTTCCAGCCGTTGGTAACTATTTTAATGATGTAATCAATAAAATAGTGTTTAAACAATATTGTGGATCAAGTTGTTGGATTAATTAGTAGGTAGCCTTGTTATAAGTGGGATAATGTACAGCAAGGCGGTTATTAATGAAAATAGAAAACCTTCATGTTGATGTAAGATCAGTCCTCTTCGCGTCAGGATGCTGATCACCATGACAGTGTTTTTTTTTTTTAAATTAATGACCGCCTTGCCGCACATTATCACTTACACAATAACTTCCAAATGTTTCAGAACACCAGCATGCACCATGCGTCTCTCAAGCTTTATCTTTGCCTCATGTTTCTCCTTCTGCGCCCTTAACCCAACTCTCAAATGTTGTAAAACTCTCATTTAGATTTGTAGCTAATTGCTAACCTTATAAAGCGTTTTCTTTGTTTGACTGCAGCCTCTTCATTGAAGTCATTTCCACTCATTGTATTGTTTCAGTGAAGCACTCTGTAACGTTGGCTCTAAAAAGGTGCTGTATAAATAAACCCTTAATGACTTACTGGGGCCCAGGTACATCATGTACATGTGCATATACTGTATACACATTACACAAGACAGTTTAAACATTGCTTTCATTGTACCTGCTCTGCCATCTTATTGCAGTTTATTCTTCACAATGCAATAAACTTAACACAGTTACGTTATGCTTAATGTATTCTTTTGAGGGTGTTTTCACTGTTTACAATTATGTTAGCTTATAAAGATGCCAAGTGAGTTTACTTTATGGCTAGAGAACAGAAAGAGTTGTTTACATTTATTGGCCAATGCCTAATCATTGCGAGGAAGTGACAAAGCAGGGTTGTAGAAGAGTTGACCTTGTGAGAGGCTTTTACTTTGAACCTCACCAGAGTGTTTAGAGAGCAGATATGATACAGTATGACATTAGTGTGGCTTTCAGTGCTTAGTCTTCTGATCCTATGCATTAGGGCACTTCCCTCTGTATATTAACAGTGAAATGTTATTTGATTTATTTTGTATGGCCTAGGAGTTTATGTGAATCACAGTTTTTGAAGCAAGTCTTATCTACAGTGCAGGCCTACTGAAATGCCTCGAAGGACTTCAATTCCGCCTCAGCCTGCACACCGCTACTGTCATCTTCTTTAAAGGGGCCATACAGCATTATGATAATTTTCAGGTTCATATTTGTATGTAGTGTCTCTACTGTGATATGTCTCCATGCTTTAATGTTCAAAAAGCTCTTTATTTCTCTCATACTGCCTGTGCTGCAGCACCTCTTTTCACCCTCTGTCTGAAACCAGAGCCCAGTCTGCTCCGATTGGTTAGCTGGCCGGCTCTGGTGTGATTGGCCAACCAACCAGTCCAGCCCCTTAGCTGGACTACAAAGTGCTAGCTAATAGAAGCGAGGGTGTTACATAGTGATGTCGCTTTGTTAGGAAGTAAACAAAGGAGTCCAATGGAGGCATGGGAGGGAACCTCACCAAATCAAATTCCTCATGTATAAACTTACATGGCAATAAACGTATTAATTAATTAATCTTAGATTAATCTGACTGATGGCAATATTATCCTTTTAATTCATGTTCTATAGGTCCGCTATAACTTCGCTATGACCAAGATAATGGTGAAGAGAAAGTTGAATTTTGTGAAAGTCCAAATCTGAATAATTGTGAAGTGATCAAATCCTCAGTTTGAAGTGCAGAATTCACCCAAACATTCAAGCGCTACCATCCCTGGCACTGATCATTCAATATTTCAAAATTACCAAAAAAGAGCATGGAAGCATATCACATTCAGACTTTGCTCCAGTGAGATAACATGCATGTAAACACACACCTACTGGAACTTCTTCACAAGTAAACAGTTGTCCCAGTCCAACATTCAAACTATTTTCCACTTCACAGCCTGGATGACATTCCTGCTCTCACACATCCCCCTCTTACATCCCAAAACTCAGACTATATCCACACTACAACAGCTGGAAAAAAGATGACATGACAGACACGAATTTTCATAAAGGAATACTAATATTGTGTACCATGCATGATACCACTGATGTATGTAAACAAGACCATTACTCTGCATTACTGCTTGGTGAGAATAATGATGTAACTGGCCTTGTTTTTCAGACATGAAGAAGGATACAAACTTAGCTTACAGTCAGCTTAGCTTCATATAACCATTCATGAAGACCTGGAAAACCAAGCATGAAGCGAGAGATCTCCGATTTTCTACCAAAAAACAAATAATTCTAAAATGTAAACGTTTCTTTAAGTCTACTGTTTTTCTGTTTCTTAATGGCCTGCAACTGCTTGTACTGTTTTGGATTTTGTCACTTGTCCTGCATGTAGTTATGATCATATTTTTTATTTTAAATGGTGTAATTTTATCTAAAAAGTCACTTTCTACAGGGCTATTGTCAGAATAGAACAGCTGTGCCTGCCAGCATAAGTTTGCCCCATTTCTTTTAAAACACAGAAGCGGTATTGTTCATGATCACTTAACCTTTGTGCGTCTAAAATAGCGGTTGTTGCGATGACGCTAAGAAAAGTGCTAAATTATGCTCTCCCTGTAAGTTCTTATAAGTCAGTGTCTGTGTACGAGGCCCTGAGGGTGTCTCTGTACAGGACACCAGCTCCTTCACATGGGAATGTTCACACTCCTGCCATACTGACGAGAGGCGTAACAAATGACTTCACACACACACACACACACACACACACACACACACACACACACACACACACACACACACACACACACACACACACACACACACACACACACACACACACACACACACACACACACACACACACACACACCACACACACACACACACACAACACACACACACACACACACACACACACACACACACACACACACACACACACACACACACACACACCACACACACACACACACACACACACACACACACACACACACACACACACACACACGGGTGCATGATCAACACCATGGCAGATTATCAAGATCCTGCAGGAAAGGCAGATGGCTTTTAATAATAAATGTAATCATTGATCCTCTCTCAAGCCTCTTAGATAGAAAGGAACTGAGGGAGGACAAAGGAACAGCTGACATAACCAGCAACACACACACACACACACACACACACACACACACACACACACACACACACACACACAGAAATAAAGAGCATGCAATGTGTAGAGCCTAAAATGTCTAAAGGCCGGCCAAAAGTTTAAAAAAAAACATATTTAAAGAAAAATATCCACAAATGTCAAAAAGAAAGCCTTTAAATTGTAAGGTGCAAAAGTAAAATTATTTTTGAATAAAATCGTAGGGTTATAGTAATAGAACATGTGTTTATAATTTGTAGCTGTAGGCCTGAATGGGTTAACCTTTTCTGAGGGTCTGATGATCCTCTGCTACACTACTTCTTAACAAAACCCGTCTATATCCTCTGGGGATCATACATATGAAAAAGTAACTGTTCACATGCTCCCTCATGAGAGAGATACATCAACAAGCACACAAATAATATGACAGGACGTGTACACAACTGCACAAGTTTATGATCTCTGGACGGGGGTTTCAGCTGCACACACTCTGAATGGAACTGCTACAAGACACATAGATCCTTCACAGATTTCACACCAACATATTACTACTTATTAATTTGGTTTTATTAAGTGAGGAACGTTCAGCATTGTTAACTTGACTTTTGTGTGTGAATGTTTTCTTACATTTTACCAATACAAAAGGCAAAAACAATCCTATCTCAATAACTACTTATTAAAGGTTTTCCACAACTTTTCTTTTTCCTGCACATCGCTCATTTGTCATCAGAAACAGAAGACCTTGAGATGTGGTTGAAAGTTTTGGGAAGTGTTAGTTAATACACCTGAGTTGAGGCTTTTTTGTTGTCAAACACTTGACTTTAACATGCAGCAGCTCCCATGATGAATGCAATGAGCTATGCAAATAAAAAACTATATTTTCACCAGGTAAAAAGCTTGTGAAGCTTGGTGTCCATGCCAAATCGGACAATGTCTCCCTATGTTCTAACTTTAACTTTGAAGCAGTGCTGCCGTGAACTGTGTAATCTGAATTTAGGTGAAGAACACCAGAGAGTGCTCTGTGCTTTGTTGCTTAAGAGAAAAACTATTTGATTTGCTCATCTGACTCTGTATTCTGCTTCTAGAAACCTTTGCCTGCATGGGGCTGCACGGCTGTACATAAATTAGAGATAATAAACAATAATCTGAAAACAGGCTTTTATTATAGCACGCATTTAGACTTATAGTGACATAGCAAATATTGAGTTTGGGACACTTTCATCCAGTACTCAATTGTACTACACAGCAACAGTTTTATACATTTTATTTATTTCGCCTTTTATTTAGCATGAAAGCAAATACATGGTTTGCTCAATATTATTGAACTATAATGTATGATTGAGTGTGGAATACATATTTTTCTCAACAATATGTCTTCCACCAGCAGCCATATGTACAGTAGAAGCTTGTAAAAACATAAATTAAAATATAGTAGGTGTAATAATATAAAATGCGTCTTCATACGAGAAGTTTTTATTGTTTACACTTACACATTTCCTAATTTTTGCATACAACTACAATACAGTATGATATGCACTATTAAATGAATGTTTTATAGTGACTTGTGCCAAAGTTGAAGTAAAGTGCTACCATCGTGACCTCTAAAGAAATGGCTAAATCCTGTCAGGGCCAACTAATGGCATTTTCTTTTTAAACATTATTTTTATCTGATAGCCCACCTGCCTGCTTCTTTGTGAGCAATCTTTAAAAACATTGAAAGCACTGAGACATGTATGAGATCACTGTCACATCATATGTAGCCTCCTAGCATCATGACTGATGGCTGGCTGCAGGGAGGAACTGATAGAGGCAGTGAATGAGAGGAGGCTGAATGAACTGAAGTCATTACAGAACTGTAATTAAAGCACCGGATCAGAAGGCTTATTGGGCCTCCTCCGGTAACAAACACACACACACACACACACACACACACACACACACACACCGACAGGCCTCCTCACGTGTGATTCCCACTCACGACCCGGTGCTGATGCTGTGCCAGTGTTCTGACAGATGAGATAACCGTACCTTGACGCTGTTGTGGCTGGTCTGCGTCTCGGCCTCGATGCGGATGTGCCCGCCGCTGTTCTCCTTGCGATCCCGGCAGGAGTTGTTCCGCGAGGGGCGGCTCTGGTAGGTGAGGACGGAGGGGATGGTCTCGGCCGCATCGGTCTTGATGAAGAGCCCGTGTAGCGTTGCCGCGGTACCCTGAGAGATGGTGGTGGTCTGGTGGGGGGAGTTGGATTCGTCCGAGTCTCGGCAGTAGATCACCCCGCTCTGAGAGACGTGGATACTGGGAGCGCAGCCCATGCCTCAGCGCCGCGCCTCCGGAGTCAGATCCCGGATAATAAACACTCAGGTACCACCTTCCTCTGGTCCACAGCTGCCTGCACACAGGCGGCTGTTTTCTCCGGGCATCGGCAATCGCTCTCTCCTCCACACACCTCCGTTTGAGCACATCAAGGGGGGAGGAAACGTGATTATTTCAATCATGCGTTCCGTCAATCCTCCTCAGCCTCCGCTAGTGCAGGATCTTGGATAACGATGTCATATTCAGGACAAACAAGGTGTTTCATGCTATAGTCTAAACCTTGTTGATGGCCTGCACCACGCTTGCGCATCTATGAAATGACCCGGCTAATGAATAAAATCACTAAATGGACTAAACCACCTGGCTGCTCTTCATCGTCATCCTCTGAGACATGCTCGTGTTTTTTGGCCTGTGGAGAGTTGCTTGCTTTATGAAATCTCCTCTGTGTCTCTACTTTAGTTATTCTGCTTGCAGATCATTGGCCACGGTCCATCCCTCTCTCACTCCCCCCTCTCCCTAACATTATATTTCTCCATCATGACCCTCTTATCTCCCCTGAGACCCTGCTCTGACTCCAGGGGTCATTTCAAGCCTCACTGTGGCGAATTACACATAATGTTGTCAAAGAAGTATACGGCTAATGGAGGCTTGATGAAAAAACACTTTCTATCTTCTCCTTTAGCTTACACTTTCTTTGAGATTGCTTGATAAATATACTAAAATAGTATATTCGTTTTTTCCAAAATGTGTGTATTCCGTTTTGGAGGACTCGGGTTGACGAAGTTTCTCAATGAATCTTAAAGGTCCCATGACATGGCCATATCACTGATCATAATTCCATTGTTGAGGTCTACCAGAATACATTTACATTGTTCAATGTTCCACAATCACATTGGTTTCTCACACAGTCTGTATAGTATGTGTATTCACTCTCTGTCCTAAACGGCTCCTGCCCCCCCCCCCCCCCTCCCCCTCCCCCTCCCCATGAGCCCACTGTGCTCTGATTGGTCAGCTCGCCCACTCTGTCCTGATGAGTCCACCACCGTTACAGCGGAACATCAGTGATTATGTGTTACAATGGCGTTAGCAACCAGAAAATGACACCAGTAATGACAATTACAGTGTGTGTGTGCGTGTGCGTGTGCGTGTGCGTGTGCGTGTGTGTGCGAAGCTCCGCAGAGTACCGAGGCTGAGAAAAGATAAGGCTGAGTGAGTGTGTGTGTGAGAGATTTGGACCAATCCGAGGAGCCGTTATGTCACTATGACCAGGAAGAAAAAAATGGAACAAGAAAACTCTCCAACGAGGCGTTCTGGGGCAGCATATAGGTATTTTCTGTGTTAGAGTTTTACTCGCTACAGGGTGTACTTTGAGGGTTTGAGACTTTGCAGACTGTTTATATGCAGAAAACCCTACATAACACACAAGGGGACGGGTAATAACCGGAAAAGCATGATATGGGACCTTTAACAGTTTGGTCCATACAATGTCAGTTAATATTAGAAGTGATCCCTTTTTGTCCACCAGAGGTGTTAGCGTTAACCATTTCCTAAATCAGAAATTGATGTCTTCAAACTGCTTGTTTTGTCTGACCACCAGGCCAAATCCAAATATCTTCAGCAAAATAACAAAGAGAACACACAGTTAAGAAGCTACATCTAGTCAATGTCTGCCTAAAAAGACTCAAAATGGATCATCAAATTGGCAATTATTAAAGTGATAGTTTCAGATCAATAATTGTTACCATATGGTACCTCTACTCATTTAAGTAATTTCTATTTTACTTATTACAAGATGTAGGGGTTGCTGTGACGCTGCGGGGGTCAATACGTTTAAACAATCACAGAGTCAAATCTTTGCCCCCCAGCCTCTGTAGTCAACATGGCTCCCGTAGTTAGACAGAGTGCTCTTTCTTCCATGGTGACCCCTCAAGGAAGTATAGTACACGTTTTAAAAATAAATAGAAAACAGTAACAAAAATGAGTTGACAGTGACCCTTGCAAATGCAATATAATAAACTTTGCAATGGTAGCACACCAGCCATGTCGCCAAATCAGGACAGTACAAGTAGGGCGGGCCAAAACATCACTTTCCCTCTTCCTGGCCCCTACTTGGGGCTAACTGGCTTGGCATCAATCTGGGCTGGCCATGGTACCTGGTCAACCTTTATCACATAAGTCTGCAGTTCTGCGCAGTTGTACAGAACAGTTTAGCATCTTTAAACTCATTGTTTTGGTTTTTTAAATGCACAGCTTTACTGTTTTGGTCTTACTGCTCATAAGGAAGACACTTTCAGCTTCAATATCTGATAAGCCCTCTGTACACCTGCTCTGCACAGTTAGCTGGGGGAGCATTTAGCGGCTAAAGTAAAGACTCAGATATTTCCCTTAGGAGTTGTTGGATACCAAAACAGAGCTCAAATGAGAGTGAATCAGGTGGACACAAACAAAACATCAAGAGAATGCCAATGTTGGTTTGTATAAATAGGTAAACATTAGCCACATAACAAGTGGAAGTGACTACAAAAATGTATACACTATAAGTATTAAATAGAGTTGCATTGACAGCGAGTATTATTCTGCATTGAGTCGTTTTACCATGATACTTCAAGTAATTTGTAATTATGTTAAGGATCATTATCAATCCAGGGATTCTTCCTGTACTGAAATGTTCAATAGTATAGCAACGTTCACATGTTAATGCTTATTTCATTTTAAGTACAAATTGTTCTCTGCGAGTGTATTTGTATTTGACAGCACTATACAAAACATATTGCTTAGTACTATTAAATGATCTCCTGTTGGGAATGCAGACAGCCCCCTGGTGGCCGGCTGTCACAGGTTCAACCACTGCTCAGACCAGCAGCACCCATAGACTGTATAGTATATATAAATAAAAGGCAGCACCTCATCAAACAAGTTTTAAATATATTGTACAGGCTGATACCTAAAATATCCACATCGATGTCGGAGTTCACCATCTATGTATACTTTAGGCTACAAAATCCAGATGTTAGTTGGCAATCTGTCAAACCACTAGTATAACTTTAAGAAAGGAACTATACACAAAATAAACCACTATGCACACACAATTTTCTATATGAATTAACCTTATTAATAAAGGTTGTGCACAGACCCATTTACATGAATGAACTCCAAATATGTTTTTTATAAAGAGGTATTAGAGAGCTTTAGAGTTGTGGCATTTGTTTAAGGAGTTTGTATTGGTTTGTCAGCCTAAGCAGTCAAAAAAAGCCATGTTAACCCATTGAGACTATATACACCAGTAACTGACAGAAACATTTCAGATTATTATAAAGTAATGGTGGGAAACTTTTCTTGATTCGATTATTATCTAAAATAAACATTTTGCCACAAACTTTTGATTTGTCCTCAATTGTATTTGTCCTCAATTGTATTGTATTTGTTTTTGCTTGATTAATGAGTTGTAACTAGCAGAGTAGATGTGCAGTGTTTCAGTTGTGATAAATGATCCGAACATTAACCACTTTGAAAATGATATAGAGTCAGATTAAAGTTCCATGAGAAGCCTGTAGGCTACTGCAGTTTTTCCACAAGAAGAACGAAGCAGCACTTTGCTTACCTTTCTTTGTCCATTGGGTAATAAAGCACATTCCTCTAAGGACAGTCCACTCATGTCTTAAAGCCACGAAGTTGTGTCCTTCTGTATCAAAACTAAATAATAAAGGATAGCGGATAAACTGTCTATAATGAACATACATATGCAAAGCTGTATGTGTGTTAAAAGAGTTGAGCGGTGTCCCTCAGGTACGGAGCGGGCAGACTTGCTGCCGGCCTCTGGACTGCTCTGAGCGGCTGAGAGCAGGCTGGTGTCCGGGCGGCCCTAGTGTCCTCATTTTAGGACCAGAGGACTGCTAAAATGTGCAGGTCATAATAAATACAAATAATTATAATAAAGTGCTTAAATTGCGAGTAAAAGTCTCATTGAAGTTCTTTATCAGCAACATGGAGCCTGGATTTATCATTTTAATCAGGGTAATGAAGATTGCCTATATTACAGTCAGGTAACAGTAGTGGAATTTTAATTATTTTTTATTTAAAAAAATGAATTAAAGGACCTTGGTAAAATTGCACTTCTGTAGAAAGTAGGCCAAAAGATTGAAGTTTAGCCTACTCCGAGTCAATGTTACTATGTTACATTTTTAGGGAAAGGGGAAGTTGTATGATGATAAGGATTTGATGAAAAACCTGTTAAGCCCCAAGGTCCCCCTCGGCGGGTCCTTTTTTTTTTTTTTTTCATGACACTGTGTCTCAGGGGATCTTAATATTTAAGAACCTATTAATGTGTTATACCAGATTAACGGGAATAATCTCAGCTAACTGACGATACAAACCATTTTTACCAAAACAAAACACAAGTCTCATAAGAAGCATCTAAATGACCCCTGAGCGAAAAATGCTAACGCACTTTGGCACAGAACTCAAGATAAAAGATACCCTTATCGTAGCTGCACATACAAGATTCAATTCAATTCAAAACCTTTATTTATCCAGGTAAAATCCCATTGAGATCAATGATCTCTTTTTCAAGGGAGACCTGCAGCAGTAGGTTCCACAAGAAGACATAAAAAAATAAACAACAGAACAACAAAAGGACATCATACAGCAAAATGTACAGGGATTACAATTTACATATTTAACCACATGTACAGGTACCAACAGCATCTGATTTTGTAGCATCCAACCGAGCTTTAAAAACATGTAGTGGTACTAGCTTGGTAATTTTCCATTCTTTTTGCAGACTGTTCCATGTTAGTGGAGCTGCACATCTAAAAGCTTTCTTCCCTAAGACAGTCCTAGCACTTGGCACATTTAATAAAACCACAGCATGCGATCTCAGGCAATAAGTACTTTCAATTCGCAGAGAGATCAGGGAGCAGATATAAGATGGTAGTTTATCCAACATGGCTTTGTAAATGAATAAGTACCAGTGACTGAGCCTCCGTACAGTAAGTGATGGCATAACCGCCTTGGTATACAGGGTACAGTGATGCGTAAGTGCTTTACAATTTGTCAAAAATCTCAGTGCACTGTGATACGCAGCATCTAACTTGCTCAGGTAATTGGCAGGTGCATTCATATATAACAAATCACCATAGTCCAGCACAGGTAAAAAGGTCACAGTGACTAGCCTTTTCCTGGCCTCAAGCGAGAAACAGGACTTATTTCTGTAAAAGAAACCTAGCCTAACCCTCAGCTTTTTAAGCAGGTTATTGACATGAAGTTTAAAAGTGAGACAGTCATCAAGCCAGATACCCAAGTATTTGTAACAGGTAACCACTTCAAGTTGTATTCCTTGCGTAGTTACAATATCCAAAGTAGTCTCTGGTGTATTTTTAACTTTAGCTTTCGAAAAGTGCATTACCTTGGTTTTATCCACATTTAAAAGAAGCTTAAGCTCA